ACCCCCACCCCCACTCCCACCCCCACCCCCACCGTGACTCAGGCCCACAGTGTGGCTTTCTCCATCCTCCCAGTGATTCTGTAAATACTCATCCGGTGTCAGTCAGACCCAATCAGGGATGCAGCCAGGTCGAGCCCAGGTGTTTGGGGTGAGTAAGACCTGATGGGCATTGGACCTTACCCCGTGGTGGGAGGAGCTGGGGGAGTGGAGGTCTGAAAGGGGGAGCATAAGGAGTCAGCAGCCAGGCATTCTGAACAGCCGTGAGGCACGTCCAGCCATCCGCATGGGTCTGCAGCGGGGCACTGGTAGGTAAGTCGATGGGGAGCCATCACTTCTGCAGCCAAGCACCCGGGGGTGGGCCAGGCACTGGAGCCCAGGAGCCCTGGATGCAGCGCCGAGGACAGCCAGGGCCAGGGAGCCTACTGCCTCGGTCAGCCGCCAGGCTTAGCCACTGGCCTGGCAAAGAGGCTGCTGCTGAAACTGGACCGCCAAGGGGGCCAGGCTGCCGGTCACTGTTTGAGCCAATTCAACAGAGACCAGGTGGGACCATATAGGAGCATTTATTCCATTAATGCCAGCAGGTCACCCACAAAAATACCCTCTGCACCCCATCCCCTATAAGCCAGCTGTTCATATGGGGTACAAGGGTGAAGGGTACATGGGGAAGTGGGCACAGGAATAAGAATGGGTATAATGGTTACAGATTATAAGCAACGTGGGCAATGTGGAGGGGAGGGGGTTTGCAAAGGGCAGGGGACATCAGGACTCCATTGTCTCCTTTCCTCAACGAGGTTATTCTCTCCGTGGTAACAGGTATGGAGCGGATGAGCAGCATCTCCAGGGAAACTTCCAGCCCCCCCCGCTCCGCCTACACCTCTCAGCAAGGTTAGAATGTGCTTTCTTTAATCAGAACAAATCAGTCACAGTTCACAGAGCATGATTAATATCTCTTATGAGTATTTCTTATAACTAATAGCTAGTCCCCAGTATTCTATTTCTGCCCCCAACACTGCTTCCTATCCACCTTCAAAAATCTCACACAAATTGCTCTTTTGGTCAATTCTAGCTCAGAACCATTCGAGGAAAGGGATTCTGGGAAATGTAGTTCCCAACCTAGCCAAATGGACACCATACAGATTATACCCCTGTGGGCTTACCAAACCCTTCTGCTCTCTAACTGGCTGGGTGAATTCTGCTCTCTACGACTGACCTGACAGACAGAAACTTTGGACAATTCTGCAGTGGGTGCTGTCAAGTCTTTGTCAACCCAAGGCCTTTTGTGTGGACAATTCCCCACCTCAGGAGTCTGCACCAGAAGCAGGCAGAATCTCACATTTCCAGCCTCCCTTGCAGTTGGACTAAGCACGTGACCTACGCTCAACCAATCAGATAGACTGAGATGGTATCCAGGTTCAGCCAATTAAATATCTCAGGTACTTAGACTCAATTATAAGATACACCCAGGTGGAACGTAGGTTTAACCCAGTGGTCTGCAAATTCATTAGTCAACAGAGCCAAATATCAACAGTACGATGATTGAAACTTCTTTTGAGAGCCAAATTTTTTAAACTGAAACTATATAGGTAAGGTACATTGTTATTAACTTAATTAAGGTACTCCTAAGCTGGCCGTTTGCTAAAAAACATCCTCAATCTGATTGAGGCATTGAAGTATGGTAGCAATCATACTTGGGTAAAAATTGCTGTTTAAATATATATTTTTTTATTGATTTTTTACAGAGAGGAAGGGAGAAGGATAGAGAGCTAGAAACATTAATGAGAGAGAAACATCGACCAGCTGCCTCCTGCACACCCCCCACCGAGGATGTGCCCGCAACCAATGTACATGCCCTTGACCGGAATCGAACCCGGGACCTTTCAGTCTGCAGACTGATGCTCTACCACTGAGCCAAACAGGCTTCGGCAAAATTGCTGTTTAATATTTTAACCTCACTGTTTTGTGTTCTGTACCCATTTAAAAGTTATTCTGATTTTCTGAACTTAAGTATGCTGTCCCAATACACCATGGATGATGGTCTGAATGTCCCATTGATTGTGACCTCAGTGGTCATGGAAGCACATTCTTCTGGGCCCCAGAACAGCTCGATTATCCCAAATTGTCTCAGTAGCTACAGATAACTGAGTTTCGGTTGACTCAGTGGTCCCGGAATCTGGACAGCACAAGTATTCTAAATTGCCCCGGTGGTCCCAGATAATGTGTTTCTGTTGACTCAGTGATTCGTACATACTTTAGATAACTAAGTTGCTCAATTTCGCTTCTGTAAAAATGCTTGTCGAGAAACATTCCAGACCCAAAGATACTTTTGAGATGTTCTGCCCATATAAGCCAGATGTAGCGAGCTGTTCGGGGCTGCGAGGTCGGGAGCGCTTTAGCCCCTCGTATGCCGCCGGCCTTTAGTAAATGACTTCATAATTCGGCTTTTTGAGGCATCCTTTGTAAGATGGGGGTTACACTACAACAACACTTGGCTCATGAGCCGCAGTTTGCCGACCACTGGACTTTAATGCAGACACACCCATCTCACCTCCCACCCTGGCCAGCCCTCTGCCTCTCTGAGCTCCTCAGCCCCGCCCCTGAGCCCTCCGTCCTGGCCTTACTGGCCTGCCTTCTCTTCCTGAAAGAAGCCAGGTTCCCGCCTCAGGCCTTTTATACTCTTGCTCTTCCTTCTACCTGGGTTGTTCTTCCAACCAGGTTAGTAGCTCTCAGCTCTGCTGCCCTTTAGGGTCACCAGAGCAACGTTGCAAAATATAGAGACCCAAGCCGCAGAGAGACGGCTGTCGTTATTCAGGGAAGTAGCATCTGGGCATTTTTGGTTTGTGTTCTCTTCCCAGGTGCTTCTTATGTTCAGCCTGAGTTTAGAGTCGCTGCCTTAGCAGCCTGGCCCTGTCCCCACCTCTTCAGTTTTTGCTCACAGGGAGCTTCTCAGGCCGTGGGCAATCACACCCATTGGATTCCCTCTCACCCTGCTTGTTTACCACCTTTGTGTATCTACCCCACCTTTAGATGCCACATCTGACGGCTTACCTTTCGCCCTGCTCCAGCGCTCCCTGGGGCTGCAGTTCTGCAACGTGGCCACCAGGTGGCGAGAGGGCTTAATTGCATTCAAGATCACCCCTAGACCATCCTGGCCATCGCTAACAGAGCAAGGATCATGGCAGAGCCCATGGTGCCCTCCCTCTTTTCCTCCTTCATGGAGTCAGAGACACTGGGCACCTGGAAACACTGGGTTCAGACTAAAGTCAGAGGAAGAAGGGCCCACAGTCCTGTCCGGATCACCCAAGTCCTTCCTCCTTATCTGCCCAACCAATCCTGACCCTCCCGTGCAGCCACTTGGGATGAGTCCCAGGGACCCCTCACTGTTTCCCTGCCCATTAGCATACCATCAGCTGAGGGCTGTGACAGGCATGGTTCCGTCAAAAACACTGAAGGAACTGGACGCGGGGCCCTTATTGCGGACCTGGCCTCCTGGGTGCCTCACGCAAACCTGCCGTGGCCATCCAGACCCAGGGGAAGACTGCAAATTCGAGGACGCCCAAGCCGTTTTTCCAAAACAGTTTAATTTTAAAAAAAGGTGAAGAATCTGAAAAAAAAGAAAATGGGGAGAAGGGGAGGAACCCAAAAGAGCATACCATGTCGTGAGTCCACTGGCTCAGTCACAAAAAAACACCACCGTCAAAAAAGATATTTAAGTTTAATACAAATTTTATACAAAGAAAATGTGAAAAAATACTTCCATATGCTAAAAGCAATTATGCTTCACAAATAAGGCCAGCTAGGCTATTTCTTTTCCGATAACTGCAATTCACACATGTTCTTTCTCTCCTGTCTCCTTCTATCACTCCCTTTTTTACTTCTCCACTAATACAGGTAAACTAGCTGGACACTGTACAGCTTGCATCCTCTTTACCAACAGCGAAGAGAAAGGAAACGAGACTAAAATGTACAACGAGATGGGCTGGAATGGTATCGTACAATTTATCTTCTCCTATACAGGCGCCCCCCTCTGCTCGCTCCATGCGTTTCGTTTTCGCACGGCGTACAGAACGGAGCTACACAGCGTCCGCAGTGTAACGGCCAGCGTGGCGGGCGTGGGCTCGCACGCTGCCTTGGTTTCATGCTTACATAAAAACGTAAAATCCCGTCGGCATAAATACTACAGACATGCTTCATCCCAGGCTCGAACGGGGTCCTCTGCGTGCACCTGCCTCCACCCGCGTGTCCCCCAGAGCACAGGGTCTCTCTGCAAGCGCGTGAGCGGGCGGCAAGGAGCCGCAGGCCAAGCAAAGACTCCCTTGGGTCCACGGGCTCGAAACGCCCGACGGTGTTCTGGTCTCCTGCGCCGGGCGAGTGGGGCCGTCTGCCTCCCTTCTGTAAACAAGGACGTGGGTTTTCCCTTTTAGGAGCAGAGTCGGCGCCCAGGTCACGGAGCAGGAGCTGGCTCTGGGTGCAGAGAGCGTGATCGGATGGAGCAGGAGTGGGGGGAGGAGGGGGGTCGGGGAGGGCCGGTGGCTGATGGATGTGCCTGCGACGGCAGAGTCTGTGCCGGAACCACGACCCCGTGGGCCGCCTCCACGGACGGACAGACGGAGGGGCCACGGACCACCCTTCTCCAACGCCAGGACGTCCTCTGTGGTGTTGGGTGTAGTTTCCTAACGGCTTCTCTTTTTCCTTTTTTACCTTTTATAAGTTAAAGTCCATACAAATATAAAAAGGGGGAGGTACTCTAAGTTCAGGGACATCCACAAATTGTACATTATTTACATCGAGAGCCTAAGTCCGTGTGGGTGTGACCGGTCCTCGGAGCGAGCCGCGGACGTGTGTAGTGTGGGGCCCTCCGTGGGGGGAGGGGCCGTGCCCGCGCGGAGCCCCGGGGCCAAAGGGCGAGACCTCACGTCTGGGCGCCGAGTCCGGGCGGCCCGGGGTCCGAGCCCTTCCTCCCCCGCGGGCCCGGGACGGGAGGCGCGGGGCCCGGGGCAGCCCTAGTCCCAGAAGGCGTCCAGCCGAGACTCTTTCGGGAGGAGGCTCTTCGCGCTGCTGCTGTGCTCGGAGCGCGATGGTCCTCGCTTCTCCTCGCTGCCGCCGCCGCTCCAGCCCCCGGACTTACCGCCCCGGGCGTGGTCTGGGGGGAAAGCAACAGAGAGAAAGGCTCAGCCTCCCGCCGCCTCCAGGGGAGCGGTGCTCCCCGCAGCCCGCCCTGCACCCCTCCCCGCCCGCCCTGCACCCTCTCATCTGCCCTGCACCCCTCCCCGCCCGCCCTGCACCCTCTCATCTGCCCTGCACCCCTCCCCGCCCGCCCTGCACCCTCTCATCTGCCCTGCACCCCTCCCCGCCCGCCCTGCACCCTCCTCGCCCGCCCTGCACCCTCTCTGCCCACCCTACACCCCTCCCGCCCTGCATCCTCTCATCTGCCCTGCACCCTCTCATCTGCCCTGCACCCTCTCCGCCCGCCCTGCACCCCTCCCAGCCCTGCACCCCTCCCTGCCCGCCCTGCACCCTCTCATCTGCCCTGCACCCTCCCTGCCCGCCCTGCACCCTCTCATCTGCCCTGCACCCCTCTCCCCCGCACGACCACCCCGCTTCCTAGAGCAGGAGGGTCTGAGGGGAACCAAGGCAGACGGTGCACCTCCTTAGGATAAGGTGACCAGATGCCCCGCTTTTGGCAGGAGTGTCCCGATTTTTAACAATGTGTCCTGCGGCGTTTTTAAAATCAGGACTGTTTAGAAACACCACGGGACGTGGGACAAATTGTCCAAAAGCGGGACGTCTTCTCACCTTACATTAGGATGTCACCGCACTGGCTGGAAAGACGGGAGGGTGTCATGCTCACAGAGAAGGAAGAGGAGAGAGGAAATGGCCAGGGAAGGCCTCTCGGGCATCTTCAGGATGTGACACTGAGCACCCGCGGCCGACCTCAGGCACAGGGAGAGGCCCCACCGAGTGTGACGTGTGGTCTACCGACTCAACACCAAGTTTCTCCGATCACCGTAGAGGCAACTCGAGAAACAGACGGAACCCAAACCTCCCAGAGGAGCAGATGTCAGAGGAGGAGGAACGGGGACCAGAACTCTGGCCGAGGCCAGCGGGGAGCACAGACCACTGGCCCCAGGAAGGACGAGCCGGAGGGAGGGTCACCACGGAGGGTCAGACCTGAGACGGCGTCAAGGACCACGAGGCGCGTGATGTGAGACACGAGGAGCCGCCGCGGCACACAGGTACCTGTGACACTGTCCCCCGGTCCAGGCGTGCGGGCTCCCTGGACAGGCGCCTACGGGAGCCTGGCAGCGAGCCCCTAGGCCTGCACACTGAGGCCATGTACCGGCTCCGACAGACAGACCAGAGCACAGCTTTGTGCAGAGCCTCGAGGGGGCGGGCGATACTAGCCACGCCCACTTCAAGCTTAGAGGCAGGGATCCAAATGAGGGGGGAGGGGGCCGTGTCATCGGTGGGGGCAAGGGGGTGAGCTGTCAGGAAGGGAGGGAAGAGAATGACAGGATCTCCAAGGTGAGTCCTCAGAGAGGAGCTTCCTGGTCACTGCATCATGGACCCTCAGAGCGGGGTTGGGGCAGCCTTCTTTTATTTTTAATTTTTTTTCAATTAGTTTACGTACAATATAATTATTTTGTGTTAGTGTAGGGTGTACAGCATAGGGGTTAGACAATCGTGAACTTTACAAAGAGATCCCCCTGACACCATATGGTAGTCATGAACCATGTCACTGACTGTGTGTCCTATGCTGTACGTCACGTCCCTCGGACTATTTTGTAACAACCAATCGGGTCTTCTCTGGGGCCAGCTCCACCTTAACAGCCCCGACTCTGCCTCTTCGTAGCATTCTGCCCGATCCGATGGCCTACATCAAGCATGTCAAACGTATGGCCTGCGGGCCCGTGCCTCTTTATCTGGCCCGCGTCAGCCTGTGAGTTGGACGTGCGTGGCCGTTGCACCATCAGTCCTTCTGGAAGGACCCTGGGGAGCGCTGAGGCTGGTCAGCGCTCCCCAGAAGTCCCTGCAGCCATGCAGTAAGCCCCAGCGAGTGCCCTGCTCGGGGGAGCGCCGAGGAATGGGTGCGGGGCTGAGAGGACAGCACCGGTGGGGCCTACACCTCACAAGGACAGGGCGTGGGGAGGATCGGTGTTCACCGGGGGCCTTTTAGGAAAAGAGCGAGGAAGTCCCCTCGAGAAGCCAAACCATACGCTCTGGCCGTTTCCATGGCCACCAGAGGGCCCGTTACCAAGACATACAAGCCCAAAGCAAGACCCATCACTCAGAAGAATGGAAGAGGACACACCCCCACAGAAGCACACTCCCGGCCTCTGGCTGCCAGGAGGGGGCCGGGCGGCTCAGGGGGCGGGGTACTCACACTTCCGGGCCGGGTAGGTGGGGTGCAGGTAGGTGGGGTGCGGCTGGAGGTCGGTGGCGGTTGGGGCAGAGGCAGGTGGTTGCTAACTGAAGAGACAGCACAGGCATCCTCAGTCTGTCCGCTCAGATCCACACCCCGCGTGCTCACCATCACTGGGCCTCGTCAGGCCACTGCTCTGAGCACTGCCTCTCCACCGTGGCTGACAGGGGACACTAACGCTTTTTGAAAATGCCTACCAAACCATCAGCAGGATCGCTGGACACAGCACGGCATGACAGGTGGAAATAAGATATGCACAACATCAAAGCAACTCTGGAGCCACAGATCCTCAGCATTGGAAAGCAAACTCCTCGGAACCGTGATCTCTGCCAACAGCCAGACCCAGCATGGTGGGAGGCGGTGCCAGGCAATGCCCATTGCAGCGGGCAAGTAGTAGCTAATCTGAGGCCATGTGGACACGGAGGAGGGAGGAGGAGGAGGGAGGAGGGAGACGAAGAAGGGGCACAGGGGGTGCGGGCTGAGGATGGGACTGCAGACGCGCTGTCAAGTGAGCCACAGTCTCGGCTCCGATGGCAGGACACCCACCCATCACATCAGAAACTGAAGAGTCAAAAACGAGACATGAAAGACGTCTCTATAAAATAGCTGAGAACGGCGAAGAGCTTGTTAGGAAACAGCTGGAGACACGATCCAGGGGGAAACAGGAGCTCCAGGAACTAGCAAGGCCGCCCAGGAGCGGAAATGTGATCCCGCACACGGATGCCGGGACCCAGGGGACAGCCCCCGACACAGAGACACGGGGGCGTGCATTTCAATCCCCAGATGGGCCCCCAGCCCCCAGCGGGAAGACAACTGCAGCCACAGAACCGCTCTGATGAAGGCGCATCGGAGCGGAGACGGGAGCCGGACGGACCAGGCAGGAGAGGCGAGGGAGGGACAGGCCGCCGGGGGATGAAGCAGGACTGCCTGGAGCTGGCAGAACAGGAGCCAGAGGGTAGGACTTGTCTCTGACCAGGGAACTCAGAGACATAAAATAGTGGCAAGTGGCTTGGGAGGAAATGGAAGAGACGTCGTCTATGACCCTAACTCTCATCTTTTTTTTTTTTTAAATTTAAATTCTTTATTGTTTAAAGTATTACATGAATCTCCTTTTTCCCCCATTGACCTCTCCCGGCCACGCCCACCCCCAGCACATGCCCTCACCCCCCCTACTGTCTGTGTCCACTGCTTATGCTCATATGCATGCATACAAGTCCTTTGGTTGATGTCTTACCCCCCGCACCCCCCTTCACCCTGCCTTCCCTCATAGGCTGGACAGTCTGTTTGAGGCTTCATCTCTGGTTCTGTTTTTTGTCCATCATTTTGTGTTGTTCATTATATTCCACAAATGCCTACCTCTCATCTTTTAAAGCTGGAAATCAATGAGCAATTTCTAAAGATAAAGCCCAGCTGAAACCGGTTTGGCTCAATGAATAGAGCATCGGCTTGGTTCGATTCCAGTCAAGGGCATGTACCTTGGTTGCGGGCATAACCCCAGTAAGGGGTGTGCAAGAGGCAGCTGATCAATGACTCTTTCTCATCGATGTTTCTAACTATCTCTCTCCCTTCCTCTCTGTACAAAATCAATAAAATATATTAAAAAAAAAAAAAAAAAAAAAAAGATAAAGCCCAGAACCAGAGTGTAGGGAAGGACATTATTTACAAGTAAGCAGGTGAGTTCCACATGCATCGCACACAGCGGTGAGGCTGGGACTGGGCCTCGATTCTCCCCGTACGGCCTTATTTCCTCGGATTCTATGCACATAATGCCTTAGTCACATTTTTCAACTTAAGAGACAACAGGCCCGTGCCCACCCCAGGGAAGCTCAGACCCCCTACTAAACCTCTCTCCCTTCCAACTAGACTCCTCCCTCCTCTCGCCATCTTGGTACCAGAAGCCTAGAAAGAGCTCAGAACTTTAGTGTTCTACTGAGCCCACTGCCCTCCACAAGATTTCACCTGCATCGTCCCCGACAGCAAGGCTGGCAGAAGCTCGGTCGTATGCCTCAACCTTCTGCAAAAAGTCCAGTGCTACACACCCTCCAGGAATCTAAAGTAGAATGGGGGGTCCTTCCCTTGCCCTTCCTGCTACCCTACCCAGTCCACAGACTCCTGGGGATTATGCTCTGCCCCAAACCCACCTGGGCCAAACCTACCAGAGCTTCTACCAGCATCTACCAGAGCGTCCTGCCTCCTCTCTCCTACAGGTTACTTAATTCATATAAAACAGAAACCGGTTTGGCTCAGTGGATAGAGCATCAACCTGCGGACTGAAAGGTCCCAGGTTCAATTCCGGTCAAGGGCATGTACCTTGGTTGCAGGCACATCCCCCAGTGGGGGATGTGGAGGCAGCTGATCAGTGTTTCTCATCTGATGCTTTTAACTATCTCTCTCCCTTCCTCTCTGTAAAAAATCAATAAAATACATTAAAACAAAACAAACAACCTTCTTTCCCACCTCCGTGGGTTGTGTGCTTCAGGTTAGAGTCAGCCAGCGATGGCCCAGATCCAGCCCAAGGACCATTTTTCCAAATAGTTTCACTGGAGCGTGTCCCTCCTCCCTGACAGACATATTATCTGTGACTGCTTTCACCCGGCAGGGGCCCAGGTGGCCCTAAGTTTCACAGCGTTTGCTGACCACTGGGCTAAGATACACCTCATTCGCCTCCGAATTGGAATACGATGCAGCTCCCAACCACAGTCCTGTCAACAACCCGGCTTATTCCAGCAGATTCCACACACCACGGCATCGGTCATTTCCCATCAGCCTTGTGGATCCCACCACCTGGCTGCTGCACAAGCTCCACAGCGCCCCCTGTCTGAAACAGCGTTTCCTCAACGTGGGCCTTTCTCACGCCACCTGCACAACTGGACACACCCACAGCCCGCCTACATACTCTTAATTCATGTTTTTGTTCAAACTCATGTCTAAACTGAAATAAAACGGACGCTTTTATAGCACCACCCCAGGCAGAAAGTCATTGATACTTGCCCATGCGTAAAAGGCAACTCTCACACAAACACAGTGAAAAGCAAATTGTAGTATTAACTTGTTAGGTGGGCAGCACGCCACTGAGGTGCAAAGCCTGCTCTCTCTGTTAGAAAGGGGTCTAGAAAATATCAAAAGCAAAAGCCATTTCCATGCCAAATGCACCTGTTCTTTAGAGATTCTGTCAGGAATCGGGGGGAGGAGGGACGAGTAACTTTTTCAATAGGTGGTTCACTTGCATTCAATGCCAAGTTCATATTCTCCCTAAAATCCGCTCATGCCATACTAACAGTGAATATCACAGCATCCTCCAAGCACTTCACATGCAAAAGTGACATAAAAATTGGTGAATCATCTAGCAGAGAGAAGGGTCTTGGAGCTGAAAAACCTCGGATGAAACAGAATTGTCCTCAGTGAAGAAGATACCTTCTTGAAACCCTTATGGAATGACCCAAAACAGGACAGAGACTCTTTGGGCCAGAAAGGAGGACAGCTCAAATCTCACGGAAGAGAAGAACCAAAATTCAGTCTTGGAAAATCTCCCAACACAGCCTGCCAGTTTATTTATTCCTAAGAGGAACACTTTTTACAGCAAGATCATCCGCCTAAAATTTTTCTTCATTTCCCACAAGGCTCGAGTGCCCTCACCCACCGAACACAGGTGCTGGGAACTAAGTCCCCCTCGGTGTCGTTTATTGTGGTCACTTCCCGGGGGGCAGAAGGGCAGCCCCACCCCCAAAGCACGTCATCGCCTCCCCGCCCAGAGCCACAGCGGAACCCCCTGTCCGGTGACGTCTCACGTGGCTCCCCAACAAGTAAATACAGCGGATCCTCAAACTACGCTGTTTTGTTCAGCGTCACTTCATGACAACACGGGTGAGAGGCCGCAGCGTAACTGCTTGCACCCATTGGCCTACAGGAAAACCGGTCCCGCCACACATGGTTTCCCTTCCAGCTGCCCAACCATCGACAGCATTGAGCGAGGACTTACTGTTCGGGCAAACGCGGACCACGTCAGAGGTGTCTGGACTCCCTCACCCCCACTCACCCGCCCAGGGCACCCCCAAGGATCCCTAAGGATCCACGGTAGTCTGAAATCCAATAACCTTCGAGTTCTCTCTAAGGAAATGGCTTCCCCTCTGCCCGACCCACCAGGGGGCAACGTACCAGAGCCTTGGTTGGAGCCTAAGAGAATGGAGGAGGGCGTCTCCCTGGAGCCAGAAAGGTCGAGGGTCTAGAAATACAAAGAGAGAGAGATGGACTCGCGGCACTGGGGCCAATGGAGCCCCCAGGGGAGTCCAGGGGTCTTGGGGGGGAGGGCCGGTGCTCCTTTCTGCCCGGTGGCACAGGCAGCAGAGGCAGGTCAGCGGGGGTGGCCCCCTCCCCGTGCGCTGACCCCAGGCCCCACAGGCTGGACCACAGCCCCGGGGCGACCCTAACTCAACCCTCAGCCTCAGCTCCCAGGACACTCGCTGCCTCCGCGCCTCCACTCGCTGGCCTGCCAGCCCTCCGCGCCCTGGCCTCTCCAACGAGGAAGCCTGTTCCTCCAAAACGGTGTGCGTTCACTTTGCTCTCACACTAACCTCTAACCAGGAATATCACTGAAATCAACGGGATCTGACTGATGGGATAATGACCTCTCTCTCCTCACACACACTGAAATACAGGCATGATGACCAAACGTGCAGAACGTTACCCACACGCCACTAACGTCCCGTTGACAGACAGCCCGTCGGACACTCCACTCGCTGCGGGAGGGAGATGCAGCCTTCCCTGCTCGCCCGCAGCCACGAGTCACAGGGGACCATGGGGAGCTAAGGAACTCGGCACACCAGCCGCAGGCCCAGTACCCGGGCGGCTGGTGGCTGCAGACCGGGCAGAGCAGACTCCACACGCCCAGCCCCGCAGAAGGTTCCACCAGACAACGCCGTTCTAAACTCGCGTCGCCAGGGAACAGCTGTCACTCACACCAATGTCACCTTGGACTCCATAACCCCTGCCCCTGCCCGGGTGCCCGCCGGGGAGAGGCGGCCTAAGGCCCATCCCCACCCGCAGCCTGACTGCCCCACCTTGCAGACAGACAGATCTACGGCCAAGGGTGGGAGCGTGTCCGGGGTGGCAGGCCCGGGGACAGGAACTGAGACTCCACCGCCCAGCGAAGGCGTGCGGGACTCACCGAGCCGCTGTCCTTGCTTTTCTCGGCAGCCGTCTCCTTCTCTTTCGAGGTGCTGGCGGTGTCGGAAGGGGCTGCCGGCGTGCTGGCAGAGGAGCCCTGGGAGGACTTGTTGGGTGTTTCTGTGTTCGACTCAGAGTCTCCTTCCTGCTGCGGGGCTGTAGCTGCGGGGGAAGGGGAGAGCCGCGTGAACTGAGTGCCGTGGCCTCCGGACCTGCAGGGACCACAGCTCCGCACATGGGGGAGCCACGGCTCAGCACGTTGACCTAACCCCTAAACACACTGACCCACCCCCGAGGAGGCCAGCCCCACCCTCTGATTCCAGAAGCTGGAACCCAGACAAGGAAATAGGGTCCCGTTTATAGTAATTTGTATTTTCCTAAATGATTCTGGAGACAAAAGCGTGTTCGCAGAATGAAACGAAGGCCCAAAGGAGGGGCCAGCTACTGCTCACCTAGAATCACAAGCTCCCTAAGTTCCAGTTTCAGAACTAGCTCAGCCCCATGCACTGCTTCCTTCTGAGGTGGCGGGGAAACCCCGGAGAAAGACAACATGATGGTGAGAGGCGCGGAGCCTCAGGGGACAGAAGACACCTGGACACCTGGAAAACTGGGGGTCCGAGAATTTAGGGAGGGTGGACACTATGATGCCGCAAAGGAAGGAAAGGAAAGCCAAAGGGTGCTGTGGCGTCTCGTAACAACGCAAGGGGGTCTTCAAACACATTCCAGAACCTAGGAGATCTGAAGTCACTATCAGAAGACATTTTCCTGAAGAAGGTTAAAGGGCACAGCAGTGTACGGTTCAAACTCATCTTTTTAAAAATAACAATTTTTAACGGAAGATATTGAAGGTGCTTCTCAAACCTGGCCTTATGCTGTCACCTTTGAAAATCCTGCCCATCTACACACACACTACCTTGTCATATGATTTATGACTTCTACATTTAAATACTTAAAATGGGCGCTTCTCATTCTAAGCTAACAGGATTTGCCGTATATAAAAGCTAGCTGTATACGTTGTTTTTAAAATAGAATTAATCCATTCTAGCGGGACAGTGTCTCCTGCCAGAGGCTCCTGGGCCGAGTCGTGTGTGCCACGTGCTGGAAAGAGATGACAAGACGACCAGTTCCACACCCAGACTGTCTCCTTCACGCCGGCACTGGAATCCTGATGATGGAAAGCCCCGAGGCCCGGCTTCCCTGGCCAGCAGGCTTCCTCTGCTTCGGTCTCACTGACAGATACCGACAGATCCTTCTGAGTGTGGGCAACCACCCTGTGCCCACCCCTGGCCCCGCCTTCTAGACGCCAGTAGCCACCCCTCCACTACACCCCGACGTCTGCGTCACTGCCCACGCCGGGGGAGACAGGACACGGAAATGGCTCCCATTGGGAAGCACTGCACCTCACAAGAAACTGAACTCTCTGGACTGGTACCACAAGCCCCACATTCCAGCAAATGTCAGAGTCTGAGGTTCCAAACACCTGCTCCTGCTGTCTCTGCTGTGTGTGTGTGTGTGTGTGTGTGTGTGTGTGTGTGTGTGTGTGTAGACCGTGTGTGTGACGGTCAGACGAACAAGGGGCTGGGCAAGGCCCCCCACTGGGTCAGCCTCCCCTGTGCCCCGTGAGAGCTGGGCTGGGCCGTGGCCGCACCTGACTGGGTGCAGGACTTCATGTGCTCGGGCCAGTGGGCCTGCTGGCAGGGGTAGTCGCAGTAGCTGGTGTTCCAGCAGCAGTAGAAAATGGCCTCCTTCTTGCAGTTGGCGCACCACTGCTTCTTCTTGGTCTCGTCCACCGCCTGCTGCTTCTCCTGCTCCAGCTGCTTCTTCACCTCACCGATGAGCCGGTCCCGCTCCTGCTCCAGGCTCTGCCGCATCTCCGCCATGGTCAGCTCTGGCGGAGGAGGGGAGAGGACGCTGGCCTCAGTGCCGGTCCCTGGGCCCGGGCAGGGGCTGTTCAGACCAGATCTGATGCAAACCCTGGCTCGGAGATAGCCCTGCTTTTATCCCCGGGTCCTCCCGGGGGGCCTCTCCAGGAGCCAGGCCCCCCCAGAAGTGGGAGGACCCCTGGTGCACATTTGGCTCAATTCACACCTGGCCCGACTCCAGAGGTTCAGGGTCGTTCCCATCCCCGGCCCAGCTCCGTGCGGACCCCTCCCCAGGCCTCACCCAGGTTGTGTTTCATCTCGGAGAGCTCCTGCTGGTGCAGCCACTGAAGCTTCTCGATCTCAATCCTCAGCCTGCGAATCTGCAATGGCAGAGAGGGGCTTACAGGGTGGGTCTGGGAGCCGCTCACCAACGGGGCCCAGGAGCCCCTCGCCCTGGCTGTGAGGTCATCACATGATAGATGGAGAGCAGGCAGCCTGGATCTCAGCTGCTCTCCTCCCAGCTCCAGCCCACAGAGAGGCCAGTGCTTAACCCAAATGCACAAGAATCTGGTTCAGAAAACTGAACTTCCAGGTGAGTCACTCCTCTAAGAATCTGGTTCAGAAAACTGAACATCCAGGTGAGTCACTCCTCTCCTAAGCCCTCCAGTCACCCGGTGTCTGCCACAGGCCCCTCATGGCGCCTTCCTGAAGACCCTCCCTCTGCCGCCAAGCGCCAGGCTGAGCCAGCCCGGCCCTCCCCGGTCAGTGATGTGGCCTGGGATTCCCAAGCTTCTCCATGTCCCTCTCCGTGACCTCGAGAAATCCTGCCACTTCTCCTCCCACCTGCTGCCCGTTCTGCGCCTGGCTCGAAGCGAATTGGCCTCAGAGGGAAGTTGTGGAGACCGCTTTTTGTAAGGGGTCACCTTGTCAGTGGGCGTTTTAGCTTTTCGCGACTGGGTTCCCCAGGCTCGGGACACACACTCTTAGATGACAAGGATCTCTTGTATAAAACGACCAAGGAGCCAAAACCAGTTTGGCTCAGTGGATGGAGCGTTGGTCTGCAGACTGAAGGGTCCCAGGTTCGATTCTGGTCAAGGGCATGTACCTTGGTTGTGGGCACATCCCCGGTAGGGGGTGTGCAGGAGGCAGCTGGTCGATGTTTCCCTCTCATCAATGTTTCTAGCTCTCTATCCCTCTCCTTTCCTCTTTGTGAAAAATCAATAAAATATATATATATATATATATATTTTTTTTTTTTAAAAAGACTAAGGAGCCAATCCTACATGGAGCACAAGGATCTGGTTCCCAGTTTCACCAGTGGGTTAACTTAGGCTCCGGTTAGGGCGGTTTTATGAAAAATGAACTGATCACACACAGCATCAGCCTTCCGGCTCAATGAGAAATACCCTCCCCAACTACTCCCATCAGCTGAGCATGCCCGGCGACCCGGCCAGCCCCTGAGGGAGTTCCAGAGAAGCTGCTCCATGGCGCCGGCCCACGGCGGCCCACAGACACGCGTAGCGGGGAGGGAGTTCGCCGCCGACTCTGACCTCGGCTATGGTGCTCCCGGTAGTGTTTTTGGAAAGGTCATTGTATATCTCTGTCATCGTTCCTTTGATGGCATCCATCATCTGAAAGACAGAGAGAGGAACCATTCAGACAACCCCTTCCTGAGGCTCTTCTAGATGGCACACCTCTGAACCCCGCCCGTGTGAGGCAGCAGGTCTCACCTGGGGGCTCAGGTCGGAGGGAGGGGAGGGGTGGGCGGAGGAAGGGGAGGGTGGGAGGAGTGCCACTGGCATCTCGTGGGTAGCATCCAGAGGCGCCCTAAACACTGACAGTGCACAGAACAGCCCCCACATCAGAGGTAGCCAGTCCAAATGCCACTGGTGCCGAGGTAAGAAACCCTGAGGTGAACCAGGGTTGGGATCCTCTCACGTTCTCTGCTCCACACGCCAGGACAAGCTCACAGCCATAAAGCCGGTTTCTACAGCCACGGGCTAACTCCCCGGGTGTATTGGAGTAGCCAGCACAGGGGTTCAAGGGAGGGCTGTTTGGTTTTGTTGCTGTTGTTATTTAATTCTTTCTCTTTAAAAAACAAAACCGCTTTATTGAGATACTAGAGTCCCAATGCATTAAAATTCGTGCAAGAGTAAATAAACCTTCTTTCTCCCGGCTTCCTCCCTCCAGCACCCGGGACCCGGGCTGCCTCCCTCCTCTGGCCGCCAGCAGGCACCCAGGACCCGGGCTGGCTTCCCTCCGGCACTGGCTTCGTCAGGAAGGATGTGCGGAAGATCGTTCGGCTGTTTGGTCTAATTACCATATTAGCTCTTTATGATGTAGGATCATTGCTAAACCCTATAATTCACCCATTTACAGTGTATAATTCAGTGGCTGTCAGCAATATTCAGAGTTCTACATTTATCACCACAATCAATGTTAGGACCTTTTCATTACCCTAAAAAGAAACTCCACTCCCCTTTAACCTTCAAACCCCTCCCCCCCAAGATGCCCATCACCCCCCAGGCTCCCGACAACCACTCCTCTGCTCCCTATCTGTTCAGATCAGCTCACTCCAGGGAGTCCTTCCATGTGAAATTACTCAGCATGTGGTCCTCCTGGACCTGCCTCCTGGACGGAGCATACTCTCCTCAAGGTTTATCTGTTCCCAAAGATGCATCCGCACTCGGTGCCTTTTTACGGCCGATAGTATAGTCCATTGTGTGGATGTAGCTGGTTTTTTTTCAATATATTTTTGTTGATTTTTTACAGAGAGCAAGGGAGAGGGGTAGAGAGCTAGAAACATTGATGAGAGAGAAACATTAATCAGCTGCCTCCTGCACACCCCTCACTGGGGATGTGCCCAAGGTACATGCCCTTGACCGGAGTCGAACCCAGGACCCTTCAGTCCGCAGGCTGACGACTCTATCCACTGAGCCAAACCCATTTCGGCTGGTTTGTTATTTTAACGCCTTTGATGAGGGCATTGCCTTTCCACTTTGTGTAACTGTTGAACCCGTGAGGGCATCAGCGAGTGTGTGACATCAGCTCAGGGCCACACGGCAGGTCCTCAGAAAGCTGAGGACCAAGTGTGTCTGCAGGGTGAATTCCTCCCCTCCCTCCCATGCGCTGGCAGGCCCCTCCAGCATCGCAGGGAGAGAGTGGACAGAAGAACAAAGTAGGTCTCGGCCTGGCCTGGCTGCTGCCGAGTCTCCCCTGTGTGTTGCAGCTTCGACACAGGACAAAGAGCACCCTGGGACCTAATGCCCGGAATCTGAACCCATCTCTACCTCTTACCTCCCAGCCTCAGTTTCCCCACGTAGAACACAAGGATAATAACAGTGTGTGTCGTCATCGTCATGTCCCCCCACTCCCCCTCGCAGAGTGAGCACGAGGATTACCGTATTTTCTGGCGTATAAGACGACTTTCGAAACGAAAAAAAGTCAACAAAAAAAAAAAAAAAATCAAAAAGGGGGGGGGGGGGGGTCATCTTATACGCCGAGTATATCCCGAAAAACGTCTCGATATGCCGCTAAATGAATTTTCCAACTCGATCCCGCGCCAATCACTGCAAGGCTGCTCGGACCGCCTCTCTAACTCGGCCGATCCGAGCAGGCTTTTTATGCATGCAAATTATACATGTTCTGTACCCAAAGCTACACTGTGTTCTAGTAAAAAGCCTGCTCAGATTGGCCAGAGTCAGAGAGACCGTCTATTAAAAAAAGAACTGGTGTTGCCTCAGAAGTGGGGGGTAGTCTTATACAGCGAATATAGGCCTAAACCTATGTTTTAACTGTAAAATTAGGGGGTCGTCTTATATGCCCGGTCGTCTTATATGCCCGGTCGTCTTATATGCCGGAATATACGGTAAACAAGAAAGCCACGTGCAGGCTGGGGTTCGGCCCCTGCCACACAGAGGGGGTGTTCATAAAGAAATACCCGTTTACCTGGTTCCCACAGGAAAATAAATCCCCATGAGCACGTGACTGCGAAAATCCTGCCAACCCCCAGAACAGTAACCCCAACTTGACCCCCAAATGGGGCACTCCCCACCGGCTGCAGGCCACGCTGGAACGCTGCCAGCAAAAACAGGGCTTTCCGCAGCTCCTCAGTCCGTCGCCGTGCACGGCTCCCTACCCCACTGCACGTCCACGCCGGCCTAACGCAGGAAAACGGAACTGCCTTGCACGAGAACTTCAGAACACGGGCGAAATCCAATCCCTCCCGAACGCCATGGTCACATTCCATTCTAAAGAAATCACGGCCGAAACCATTTGGCTCAATGGATAGAGCGTTGGCTTGGGGACTGAAAGGTCCCGGGTTAGATTCCGGTCAAGGGCATGTACCTTGGTTGTGGGCACATCCCCAGTGGGGGTGTGCAAGAGGCAGCTGATCGATGACTCTCTCCCATCGATGTTTCTAACTATCTCTCTCCCTTCCTCTCTGTATAAAATCAATAATATATATTTTTTTTTTTTAAAAAGAAGAAAGAAAGAAATCACGGATCCGTGGACGGACTTTCACTCTCACTTCCACACACAGCCAAGAACGCCCCGCTCATCGAGGGCGCCCTTCTGCCAAAACACACAGAGCTGGGGCTTCAGCTCAGGGTCACACCGGAGGCTCCAAAAATATGTCCCCGCGTCCATTTTCTTAACAGCAAGGAAAACTGCCATCAGAAAGCTCATGCCTCAATGTTGCTGTAAGAGTGGAGTGAAAGGGGAGGCAGAAGGGAACAACGGAACTGGCCATGGGAGCCCTGGCTTGTGTGGCTCAATGGGTGAGCGCCATCCCATGCACCAAAAAGGTTCAACGCCCGGTCAGGGGACGTGCCCAGGTTTCGGGCTCAATCCCTAAAAGGGCGAGTGCAGGAAACAGCCAATGGACTCACTGGTGTTTCCCTCTCTCCCTTTCCCTTCCTCCACTCTCTAAAATCAATCAAAACTTTTTTTTTTTTTTTTTTTTTTTTTTAATGGTTGCAGGAGCCGTGAATACTGGCTCCATGAGAACCACTAGCCAAACCCAGGCCTCAGTTTTCTCATCTGTAATCAGACAGCTTGGACCAAATCAATGGAAGGAGATACACGCGTTAATTGCAAGAAGGTCATGGGTGTCATGCCTGTGACAGGCTACGTGAGATGGAAACTTCCATCCAGCTCCCAGACTCTCCCTCCCTGGCTTTGGTGGAGCTCACAGCCATGGTGGGAAGGCCCACACAGCAAGGGTGGCCTCCAGGCCACAGCCAGCTGGGAACTGAGGGGGAAAAGGGGACCCTTCCCTGTAAAACCTTCAGGCAAAACCCTGACTCCCGGAGACACCTTGGCTGCGGGCAGCCAGCGGCCTGAAGGAGGGCCGGTGAGCCCGACCCAGACAGACAGGTAAGAAGCCTGTGAGAGCTGCGTGGTTTGTCATAAAGCCACAGGTAACATACAATTCCCTGACAGAGGAATTTCTTTAGACGAACGACAATAACTCTCTGGTAAAAAGTTTGTCTATGTTTCATGCCATCAGAAAAAAAAAAAGATCTCCTACCTTTCACACAATATCACAGCAACTCTTTATCATAAATAAGACTTCAAGAAACAGCCGTTCTTAACTATTTCCACCCATTCTCTCTATCATCGTGATAGTTTACTCATCAGTAACTCACTCACTTACTCTTGAAGAGTAAATTCTTGTATCCGCCTACTTAGCAACTTACTGAGTCGTCCGATGGATACTCACTAACTGCTGCTGACCGTTCCTGATAGTGCCATACCCACGATGAGGAGTTAGGGAACCAGAAGCACCCAGTCAGCAGCTCGGCACCAACCACCTACTGTGCGCCCGACCTTGTGGGGCTGTCACTCCGATCGATGGTAGTTCTCACCACCGAGTGGTCTGCGGGAATGGGCCTGCGAATCACGCTAAGCACACGCACCGGTCGCTGAGATTCTACGTTTCATTTCCCGGTTCAACAAGAGCGTAAGAGCACGTGGCAAATCGAGAGAGAAAAGAACACACCTCGCAGAGAGAACACCCCCAGTGGGAATCCCGCCCACCACACCACGCAACGAGGACCATGCCCCGGGGGATGGGCCAGTCCCCTGAGAGAGGGCATTCCTCCCCAGGCCTCCTGGATCCTGGAAAGACCTAGCTAGGTGCGGGCATCAGACCTTGCATGCCTCCCATTTTGAGTTCCATGTGGCTTCTAAATGCAAAGCCAACCAACCCCAAGTCTGTTGTTGACTGAAATTGTTCCTGCACTTAAGGAAAACCTGTCCTTCATGAGCAACTCAATTCTGAGGGTAATTCTGACCTTGGCCATCGTCTTCCTGTGAGGTAGACTTTAGACTCTGAGCCCTCTCGGAGTAAGCTTTAGTCTCTTCTACCTTTCTCTGCGTAGGTCCAACTTCAGACCCACGGGGAAGAATTCAGTCCTGGAGCTCCTCAGTAAAAATGAGGTCTGCCCCCCTAAACAGCCCCCGAGAGCTGGGAGGTCATGACCCCAACAGCACCCACCAGGAAGCGAGTCCTGGGCACGCCCGCCACCCGGTGCCCTGGCACTCACTTTGCTAGTGTACTTGGCGATGTCCGCGGCGACGTCGGCGGAGGCGGTGGCGATGGGGAGGTCTGCGCTGATTACAGAGGCCAGGGTGCTCGTGCCCCCCGAGCTGGTGACCAGGGGTGATGACTGAGTGCTGGTCACCAGGGTGATGGTGGAGGTGGACGGGCTCTGCGTGATCTCCTTCTGCTGGACGGCTGGGGAGACAAAGGGTCCCGGTCAGCTGCGGCGGCAGGACGGCCCGTCCCCACGTGCAGCCGTGGTGAGGGCGGGAAACTGACCGAGGCCCTGCATGCGAGCTCTTCCTTCTCAGGGGACCGGGGCGCTCTCCTGAACCAAACTCCAGCCAGGCTGCCCCACGCCTTCCTGACTGATCCTCCAGTGTGGTCTCTAAAGACTCCAACAAACCTCACGTGGCCTCCAACAGCCCCAGGCAGCATCCCCAGGGTGACCCCGCCTCCCGGAGAAAACGCAAGGCCACCCAAATACACGGCTGTTCCAGCCCATACACTAACCATGAGGCACCTGGCTCCCAACTCCCTCGCTCTGATCGGGATCGGCCAGCAAATGCAGGTGGTTTCACATGGACCAGCCCCACCTCCCCCTTTTTGTAAGATTTCACTTCCCCGACTCTATTATAGAGTCCTCACTTGCCCCCCTTGCTAGTCCCTCATCCTCCTTTTAAGTCAAAAGTTGACCTCAGCTCACAATGGACTGCTTTCCCTACTGCAGCAGGACACTGCTGGTTAAATCCTGTCCCTCCCACGTCAACCGGTGTCCAGCTTTGTTGGTCTCTGACACAAGACACCATGGACACAGAGAACCACACCACTGGGCCTTCTTCTTGTCTCAGCTCGGAGTGCTCCTGGGGTCCAAAGGCAGGAGCCTGGGACCGGCCATCCCCATCTCAGAACCCTATCAACTCGTTAAACAGCAAGATCAAACCAGCTGTACCCCAACTTGGCCTGTGCAATCTTCCTGTGTTCCTGCTCCCCGGTCTTTGAAGGGTTTCTATTGGGGGCGCAATGCAAGATCTGGCTGGCTGCCTTTTAACGTCCTGTCCTGATGCTACCCCTAAGAATCCTACTAGCCTGGCCGGTGTGGCTCAGGTGGTTGGAGCGTCATCCTGTACCCCAGAAGATGGCAGGTTCGATCCCTGGTCAGAGCACGAGCAACGTCTCTCTCACAACGATGTTCCTCTCTCTCTCCCTCACTTCCCCTCTAAGATCAATTTAAGAGAGAGAGAGAGAGATACTGACTCAAAAAGAGAGCCCTGCCGAGACCAGTTTGGCTCAATGGATGGAGCGTCGGCGTGGGGACTGAAGGGACCCGGGTTCGATTCCAGTCAAGAGCATGTACCTTGCGGGACCCGGGTTCGATTCCGGTTGCGGGCATGTCCCCAGTAGGGAGTGTGCAGGAGGCAGCTGAAAGATGACTCTCTCTCATCAATGTTTCTAGCTTTCTATCTCTCTCCCTCTCTGTACAAAATCAATAAAATATATTTTAAAAAAAAGAGAGAGAGAGCCCTAATCACTAGGGTGCACACTACACAAGAGTTTCCGTGAAGGAGCCCGACCTTCAAGGGTCTAGATGCAGGTGCCCCACGGAGTAGGACCTATGCCAGCGCTCACAGAAGCTGAGCCAACGGGCATCCACACGAAAGTGCTTTACTGCCCCTTTGTCAGCTCCAGATGGAGCCACCTGTGCGGCTGGAGATTTTTGTTCTGCACCTTCAGCAACTGGTTCCTGATGCTGGCTCTGCCTGTGGAGGTGGCTAACTCCTCCCCATTAAGGTAGCCTTGGCTACCACCTCCTCCCTGCACTCTTTCTAAAATAACGCCCAAAGGTTCACAACAGGCGCGCACAGGAAACACACACGGCGGCGGTAGGCATCGCAGCGCTGCCCCCGGGATCCGCCCGGAAGCACCCATCACACCCACCGGGGAACGCTACGCAGCAGTCTCAAAGGATGCGGGAGCGCTGTGTGTACGGACACGGACAGACCTCCAAAACATGCTGATGGTGAAAAACAATGGTACCACTTCACGTTGTAAAAAAAGAAAAAAAGGAGGAGGAAAAAAAAAAAGTCGTGTTGTCATGAAGAGCCATATATATGTATGAATATATATGCACACATGCATAAAAATACCCTACGGTTCGCAGTGGCCGCTGAGAAGGGGCGAAGCATAAAGCGAAAGCTCAGTGGATCGGGACTGGAGGCCCGGGTAAACATCCTGCCCCTCTTTAAGGAGACCACGCACATGGATCGTTTGCAAAACAAAACCAAACAAAAAAATTTGTTGAAATAAAAGTAAAAAAATCGAGTTGCGAAAGGACTTTTAAAAAAGAATGCCCAGTGGAATGTGTGCGGCCGTGGGGACACGGCGGCCAGGAAACGGAGGGGAATGGAGAAAAAATAAACCATGGTTTCTGTTTGGTGTCTCCTGCGCACGTGGCACAGAGGGCCGGGGTGCCAGGAGAGCAGAAGGGGAGCGCGGTACCTTTCACAGCCTGTCTGGTCTGATATCGCGTCCCCTGGGAAGACTGAGGCTGCTGCTGCTGGCTGTGCTGCTGCTGCTGCTGCTGCTGGCGCTGCATCTTCTGCATGTGCCACTTTTGGGAGGACGTTTGAAACTTACTTGATGAGTTCCACACGACCCGCTGCACGACCGGGGCAGTCTCCTTCGGTAAGAGCGGCCTCTGCTTTTTCACCGGGCTTCCCGTGATGGCGGTGGTGGCGGTGGCGGTGGTGGTGGCGGTGGCAGCCGGGGCCGTGACCGTGGACGTGGTGCTGGCGGGGGCCGTGACCCCAGCGGCGGGCGTTTGGGAGGACGAGCGGGTGAGGACCGGCGTTTCGGGGGGAGACTGGCTGCCTGCCGTGGCGGACAGCAGTGGGGCTTTAGCTACGACGAGAGCCACTGCGTGGGAACAATCAAGAGTGGGTTTGCGTCAGGTGTGCTGGCACGGTCTCCACACCAGCCAGTTCTCAGGGAAACCACCGAAGGCCAGAAACGACCAACACATTCAGTGCGTGCTTAGGAGGCACATTCTCACTGTATCTACTCAGCGCCAAAGCCTCATGTTGGAGACACATGTATCAGGCCCCTGGGGGACACAGATGGCCCAGGCCCTGCCCTCAAGATCCCGTCTGGACTGGGGGGCTGCATCGGTCTTGTTTTCCAAAGTTAGACCTGGGTAAGCACTAGAGAAAGACCCAGCCAAACTGAATTCAGGGACCCAGATGAACCCTGGGCTAGGCACGCAGGGGCCTGGGAGAGCCAGGTGGCTGCCCATTGGCCGAAGCCTGCACGATATTAAGTCGTTCTGCAATGAAGGCGTCCTTGTCATCTCTCCCGAGTCCCTCCAGGACAGAGTCTCAACATGGTGGACCCCAACACCAAACACTAACAGGACGCCCGCCCCAAGACCAGAGCCTTCCCGACAATGGTATTTATCTCGACTTTGGGAGCCTTGCTTGTGTGTTGACTGTATTTTCCCCCGGCTTGTGTGTTAGCACACAATACTTCCTCTACGGTGAGGTGGCCAAGTGTCAGGCTAAAATAGGCTTAATTAAAAAAAAAAAAAAAAAGAGTAGCACTCTTCAAATAAAAATATTAAGTCAGTAATTATTACCAGCAGGATTTGGGAATGGCAAGAAGTAACAACCATGAACGTCTGAAGTTTGAGGAAAGCCGCGTGACAGAGCACGTCTTCGGGGAGGAGTTGGGCTCTGGGGCCGGGGAGTGGCATTTCAACAGGCAGAGGGGAGAGGCTGGAGCGGGACAGCCTTCGCCAAGACGTAAGTATTTAGGAACGGGAGCACTGCACTGCGGTGACGGAGGGAGGCAGAGGAGTGGCCGCTGGCAGATTACAGCCAGGAGGGCTGAGTGCTGCAGAAGGGGATGACCATGGGAGGGCGCCACTGGTCCAAGGCTGTTGGTTATCACTGCAGAGGTCCCAGCCACTGGTGAGGAGCGCCCGAGAATCCCATATAAAACTTGGGTGCACATCAGCACCCCGACCTGACAATGTGCCTGACCCCCAAATCTCTTCTCAGGAGGACTTGGCCTGTCTTTTTAGATTGGTGTCACCTGGAAAGATAGGCGCTTGGCTATTCTTTCTTCAGTGAGCTGGGGGTTTGGGACCTCCGGAGGAAACGAAGAAGTCAAGCTGACTTTTCTGCCTGAGGGGCTTTCTTGGTGGTTATCCCATCCGGCTGGCCCTCCTGACCCTCTGGAGGAGAGTTTGGCCAAGTTCAAGGGCAAGAGCACAGGGTGGGGCTGGACAGGGAGCTCTTCTCACAGTGAGGAGCCCCAATCCTTTTCCAGGACACCTGACCCTGGATCCCCCCTTCTAGCACAGTGGCTTGGAACCAGGCCCTACAAAGAGCCCACAGGGGGCAGGGACCAGCAGGATGTCCAACCTGCAGAAGGACCTTCATTGCCTCGCCTTTTCTGCCATGTGACCCAAGAATAGGCCGTGAGTGCTGATTAGCTAGCCGAATCCTTCCAGGTGCAGAGGGCAGCCACCGGAAGGGCCATGTTCGCACCCAGGCTCTGCCTGTGATTATTGTTGTGCATGGATCACGCCTGGCCCACTTTTCCAAATAAAAGCCAGGAGCGTGCAATCTGAAAAGATTCCAGGCTCACAGTGCTCTTTGGGGGTTATTTAGACACAAAGATATTTTCGTTTCTAAGGGATTCTGATGACTTATGGAGAAGAAAGAAAGAAAAAAAGCCGTGGAAAATTCCACCTGTCCTAGAAATCCAGAGCATCTGATCAATCACTTGTAGCCCAACCAGCACACCAGGAATCGCCCATCAAACTGATCTACTTATTCCAGAGCCTGGTGACTGTCGTGTGCCTGGAGGAGGACCTTTTAAGAGAAGGATGGCGATTACTGATGTCACAGGTAAGCACAGCAAAGATCTCCCATGAACTCCCTCTGCCACTGCCTGAGCTCACTGGCTGTCAACGCTGCTTTACTATTTGAGGATTCCTGCCAATCATTCACACGTTCCTTCCGGGGGTTTGCCAACGTGCCTGGGCTCTGCTGCCGGCAGCGGCCACTGCTGGTCCAGTCCACACAGCAGCATGTGAGCACTGCCAAGACCGGGCAGTGGTTCTCACCTGTGGCAGAGTTTGCCTCCAGAAGGCATCTGGCAATGCCATGCCACTTTGAATGGCCTCAACCGGGCAGGTGCTCCAGTGGGGAGAAGCCAGGGATGCTGCTCAACACCCCGCTGCACAGGACAAAGCGCTGAGCAGCACAACATGTCAGCAATAGCCGCTAGACTTCTAGTGCCCCAAGAAGTGCTCACCATCCTGGCACCACCTACCCACATGGTGTCGTGTTCTGTAAGAAAACACACTTTGAGATGCCTGGGCCGCATGAGGGGAAGGAAGGGAGGCTAGACTTACCAAGACCTTCAAAGGGAACACTCCTAACAATTTCAATCGTGTCAAATGTCTAAATGTTGACAAATACTTCGGGAAAATGAAAAAACATGCCAGGGAAGAAGTGGCTTAGGCCAGTGGTCGGCAAACTCATTTGTCAACTGAGCCAAAAATCAACAGGACAACGATTGAAATTTCTTTTGGGAGCCAAAATTTTTACACGTGAACTTCTTCTCACACCACTTCTTCAACACAGGCTCGCCCAGGCCATGGTATTTTGTGGAAGAGCCACACTCAAGGAGCCAAAGAGCCGCATGTGGCTCGCGAGCCGCAGTTTGCCGACCACGGGCTTAGGCTAAAAATAACTTGACTACCAAGAGCAACTTATTTTCTGAGAGACATTTCTCAACTCAAAACTCAACGCAAAATCATACGTGCGGAGTACTGAGCAGGTGAGGGCTGGGCAGGCCCAGCCTGAGTCCTGGTCCTACCGGATAACCAGCGAGGTGACCGTGAGCCAACCCCAGCTCCGCTCGATCTCCTGTGCTGGCATCAGAGGGTCACACAGCTTTTGGTCACACAGAGGAAGGATGGCATTCCCAAACAAGCCAAGAAACCGGAAACAGGCATCGTCACTTACCGTCCGGCTTGGGAGATGGTTCTTTGGATTCCTTCTTATTTTTGCGACCCTCCCGCCCAGAATGGTCTTCTCCCAAATCTATGACCAGTTCGCTCTCTGAGTCAGAGTCCAGGCCCAAGTGGACCGTTGGGGAGTCCGTCTCATCTTTCCCCTTCATCTTGTCCTTTGTGGGGAGAGGCGAGGGTTTGGCTTTCTCCGAGAAGTCCTTCTCGGGCGGGGGGCTCGCCTTGTCCTTGGCGGAGCCTGGCTCCGCCTTCTCGCCGGGAGGCGACAGGCTCGTCAGCTCCTCTTTGACCTCCACCGGGCTGGCCAGCTTGGGCTTGGCTTTGACGGCAGGCAGCTCTTTGTCCACCTGGGCGGCCTCTTTGTCTTCCACGTCTTCCGGCTCATTCTTGGACTTCTGCTCGTCATCGCTGATGTACTCACTGTCGCTGCTGTCCGACTTCTCCGAATCCTCCGAGTCGCTGTGCTCGACAGCTGTATAGACGTCTTCCGAGATTTCATTTATGCCTAAATTTAAAAAACAAAACAGAAAAACAACCCAGCATGGGGCGTGGTCACACATAAAGAGCAGGACCAAAAAAAAAGCACGCCAACATGCCCCACGGCAAACGCTGGAAATAAAGGAAGAAAACATTTCAGCCGAAACCGGTTTGGTTCAGTGGGTAGAGAGTCGGCCTTCTGAATGAAAGGTCCCAGGTTCGATCCCGGCCAAGGGCATGTACCTTGGTTGCAGGCACATCCCCAGTAGGGGATGTGCAAGAGGCAGCTGATCGATGATTCTCTCTCATCCATGTTTCTAACTCTCTATCCCTCTCTCTTCCTCTCTGTAAAAAAATCAATAAAATATATTTTAAAAAACAAACAAAAAACAGCCAAAACCAGTTTGGTTCAGTGGATAGAGCATCAGCCTGCATGCAGACTAAAGGGTCCCGGGTTCGATTCCGGTCAAGGGCATGTACCTTGGTTGCAGGCACATCCCCAGTAGGGGGTGTGCAAGAGGCAGCTGATCGATGATTCTCTCTCATCCATGTTTCTAACTCTATCCCTCTCTCTTCCTCTCTGTAACAAAATCAATAAAATATATTTTAAAAAACAAACAAAAAACAGCCAAAACCAGTTTGGCTCAGTGGACAGAGCATCAGCCTGCCTGCAGACTGAAGGGTCCCGGGTTCGATTCCGGTCAAGGGCATGTACCTTGGTTGCAGGCACATCCCCAGTAGGGGGTGTGCAAGAGGCAGCTGATTGATGTTTCTCTCTCATCGATGTTTCTAACTCTCTATCCTCTCTCTTCCTCTCTATAAAAAATCAATAAAAAAAAAATTGAAGGGAAAAAAAAAAAAAAAAGCAGCCAGGATCCAACTGTGACTTCTCCTGGGTGGCATCCCCACAAATAATGACGACGACGATGATGAACGAAAACCACAGACATACCTAGTTGTGCTTTGCAACTCTCTATTGTCTTGTCCAGGTTGAGCTGGAACCGGCTGCGGATCTGCCGCTTGGGAGAGATGAGCGGGACGGGGGCGGCCTGCTGCTGGACGGACTCGCTCAGCTGCTTCAGATCCATCTCGGCCTTGCTCCGATCTGGAAGAGACCGCCACGCCCTCGTCAGACCGGGCACCACAGGGGGGAACACACAACTCCCGGGCGCTGCTTCCTTCTCGCAAGCAGCGCGTTTTAGAACACGGGAGGGAAAAGACCTGAAACGTTTTTGTCATTTGTCCCAGAAGGATCATCGGCTCCATGACACGGGAGATAACAGCCCAAGAAAACACTTGGCAGGTTTACTCCGTATGTAGAACACACCGTCCCGGCCAGATGGCTGTCAGTGGGACTCCGTACCGTTAGGGAATCTCGAACGCCAAAGGTTACAGTCAAACGCTCCATCTCAATATTGGCAGATCCAGTGACACGAGTCTGGCCAGACCGTGCTCTGAACGCCAAGCCCACATCAGAGAGACCTCGCAGCCAAGAGATGCCGAGCCCCTCCGAGAACACCCCGATAACGGGGAGCCGGGGCTCCGCATTTATCACAGGAGCTTCCTTCTTCACTCTTCCCCATCCTAATCTGGAGCGCACATCAGCAAGGCAGAGAAAACTAGAAAAAGAGGCAGACCTGCCAGCCAGCCTGCCTGCTGTAACTCCCTCTGGCTCACAGCATCTGAGGAAAGGGAAACAGATTAGCCCTGGATTAAATGTCTTCTCCCTCAGGTAAGAAGTGTCCAAGCTCCTCACCCTCATCCCAGGCAAAGGCCTCTGACTGCTGACAACTCAACTCAGGCTGAGGTCCAGCCCCCACCCCCCTCTGCCAGGGGCTCTTTAAGGGAGCAACTGGAGCAGATTCCATGAGTTTGCATTTCTTTCTTTTAATGCAAATGATTTTGCCGTTAGTATTCTTTGACAAGTTTTTTTTTTTTTAAGATTTTTTATTGATTTTGAGAGAGAGGACGGAAGAGGGTGAGAGAGAGAAATACCAATGTGAGAGGTGAAACATCCATCAGCTGCTTCCTCCATACCCCCTACCAGGGATCAAGCCACAACGTGGGAAAGTGCCCTGAACAGGAATCAAACCCACAACCTTTCGGTGCACAGGACGATGCCCAATTAACTGAGCCACACAGGTCAAGGCACGTTTGCATTTCTGGAATTCCTTCCCTGCCTCCTCGGCTGCCTCCTCTAGTGTCCGGAAAACGTAAGAAGGGGACAAAATGAAGGTGACTGCCAAAACTGGTGTGGCTCAGTGGATAGAGCTCCGGCCTGTGGACTGAAAGGTCTCAGGTTTGATTCCGGTCAAGGGCATGTACATTGGATATGGGCACATCCCCAGTAGGGGATGTGCAAGAGGCAGCTGATCGATGTCGCTCTCTCATCAATGTTTTTAACTCTCTATCCCTCTCTCTTCCTCTCTGTAAAAACTCAATAAAAATATATTTAAAAAAAAAAGAAAAAAAAGAGTTAACAATCTCAAAAAATTAAAAATTAAAAATGAAGGTGACCACAAAGGCCCAGACGGGAGCTTTGCAGGCGGAGCATCATCGCTCACCCTGCCTGCCACCCTCGAACCAACCCCAAGCTGAGAACGTGGGCCTATGCCCTCCCCAGACTGATCCCAGAAGCTGTCAGAAAGCATGTGGCCTCGAGTCAGGGACACAGAGAAGCTACCACTGAGCCTGTTTGCACCGGCTCACAGCTTACAGCCCGACTTCCCTTCCTCTCCCTGCTACACCCACCCAAAGGCCCCCCTGCCGCCCCGGCTGGGAAGAGGCCCAGGACACAGTGAGAGCTGGGCCACAGAGCTGTGCAAAGCCTTTCCTCTCTCCCTTCGAGTTTGTTCCGTTTTCCAATCTGAATTACAAACCTTCTCCTTCGCTCAGGAATAGGCCACGTCCCCACACTGCACCCTCATACTCCTTCCTTAAAGTGACCACAGGTGGCCTCCCCAGTGCCGCACCCCGCACGCGCACAGGTGACCAGAGCAACAGATTGCTCAAGACTTGATTTTATCACCACAACGAGGCCGCCCCTGGGATTAGGATGGCCCTTTTCCCAAAAACACACTCGGAGCGGGCTGCCAGGGAGATCTCAAGTGTGATAGCATCCTTGTCATTTAAAACAGACACGTGTGTGCATGCGTGTTGTGTGCACGCGCTGACCAGGGCCTCTGCAGAGAGCCGGCAGCACAGGGACTGGGGTCGCTCACAGGTGTGAATGCACAGCCACTTTGGAGGGAAAGAATTTACTGCAGAAGCACCTTACAAAGACAAGACAGAGGGAAGCAGTGATCAAATAGCAAAAAGGAGAAGGCGGAGGAGGAGGACCAGGGTAAAACGAGAAAAACAGACATAAATAGGATGTAAGAACTCAACAGTTAAGCTCCAACCTTGACAGCAAAAGGAAGAATATGAGGTCTGCCTGGTCATTTCTGTTCTCAGACAGGAGGACGCGTATTGGATTCCAGAGGGAAAAGGCGGCCCTTCCAAGCATAAGTAAGAAAAGAAGTATCACACAGAAACACTGCGAGCTGGGGTGGGAGGAGGGATGTTCCTCAATGTCCGCAGTAACATTCTCGTACAGTTCATCGAGTCCATGGAGCAGTCACAGAAAAACACGCTTACTATGCCCAGGGGCCAGCAAACCTGTTCTGTAAAGGGCCAGGAGTAAACTGTACGGACCACACAATACAGGATTTAGTGGCAAAAGCAGAAAGACACAATATGTAAACAAATGAGCATGGCTGTGTTCCAATAAAACTTCATTTAAAAAGGCAGGTGATGTGCCATCACCTGTATGAGTCCCCGGGACTGCTAACCTGGCTGCAAATAGGTATTACCTGTAGAGCTTAAAAAAAAAATAAAAAAAAAAAAAAATCCCAACACCTTAGCCACTATCCCCAGAGACTGGCCTGGGGTACAGCCTGGGCATTGGCCTTTTAAAAGTGCCCTGGGTGATGCTGATGGCAGCTAAGGTTGAGAACCCTGAATAAGACCACTGTGAGTGGAGAAAACTCCTCATGATCAGCCTGAACCTTGGCGTGTCTGTGCTGACACACAGAACCATGCTTCTAAACCTTAGGGTTCACAGGAAGAAATCTCCACCTCATAATCTCGAGGAATGAAGAGGCAAAGGGCCACATAAGGTAAGGCTGCCCGGGTCAGGATGCTCCTGGAATGTTCGTTCTGACAAGAAACAGCCAAAGCCAGGGGCTGGGATCGGGTCCCTGGGGGTGGGACGCCGGTTTGGCCTGATGTGGTGATCTGCCTGAAGCTCTCTGCAGCACCTGCCTCTCCTCTGCGGGCAGAGGAGACAGGCTGCTCACTCACTCAGCTCGCAGTTGAGCCTTTCCACCCTACCCCTTCCACATCAGGAGAACCTTCCGAGTCTGCCCCGGCCGCCAACATTTTGAACTTCCCAGCTGATATGAAGACAGCTCAGGCTACAAATGGAAACCGTGATTTAAAAACAAAACAAAACAAAACAAAACAAAAAACCCACACTAGAGAAAGAGGCACGACCTTACATTTCTGGAGGGAGCATAGATCACAAGAGCCCCTTTAGGGGGCAATTGGCTGTCTGGACAGCCAGACGTCAGCTGATTGTGGCCTCTGACCCGGGTTCCACTTCTGGGAACTCATCCTGTGGATACACACTGCCGTGTGGACAGCTGTTACCATCAGCAGAGAGAGAGAGAGAAACAACCTAGATTCCATGAGTAAGGGCCTGGATAAGGAAGGCACAGCTCACCTGGAAATGCACTAAACGCGCTGCTGAAACGGGGGGAGGTCTCTGTGCATTGCTATGGGCGACCCGCCAGCTCACTGAGGAGGGCACAATGGATAGCGCCTCCAGCACTGGTGTGGGGGAGAAAGGAGGAAACGGAGCAAAGATATGAATAACCTGTGTTTGTGGGGCTTCTCAATGCTGGCGCTCAGACATCCGGACTGGACAGGTCTCCATTAGGGGCAGCGGCAGCGGCAGCGGCAGCGGCGGGCTGCTCTGTGCATTATAGGATGTTTAGCAGCAGCCCCCAACCTCCACCCCCAGGTGCCAGTCAAGGCACGTGCAGGAGGCAACAAGTCGGTGTCTCTCTCACATCGATGTTCCTCTTTACCCCCCTCCCTCCCTCCTTCCCTCCCTTTCTGAAAAGCAATGGAAAAAAATGTCCCCTTGTAAGGATTAATCAAACCACAACAAAACCAGTAAGCTTTTTAAAAGAGAAATATAACCACTTCTTTTTCAGTTAAAAAAAAGAAGAAAGAAAAAACTTCATTCAAAAGCTGCTGGGCGACTATCCCGGATGGACTTCCAGGAGCCACAAGATGGCAGCTCCTTCAGGGACAATGCTCATTCAGGAGCCGCCAGCAGACGGTCTCCTGGCCATCAAAGCCTCGCAGCCACCTTCCTCGCTGCACTCACTGCCAAACACAAACCAAGCCGGCTCTCAGAAGGCCTGGCTGCCAAGGCCCTGCTTCGTGGGAAAGAGATAGGACTCCGACAGCCACTGGGAGGGACAGACAGGCAGGAACGCTCCATTGCTCGGTCAGCACCCACACCCAGGCACCAGGCACCCTCCATGGGGGAGCAGCAAAGCACTCTGTCACCCTCAGGCCCAGGGTTTGCTGGGTGTGTCCAGCCCCAAGCAGAACCCTCTGTGAGATAAGAGGAGGTGAGAATTCGCAGGCCGGGCCAGCCGGAATGCAGACAAGGATCAGGGCTTCCTCTCTCCTGGTCTCACCAGTCCCCCTGACTTATGACGACGAGGTAAGCCACAGGAGGGCCCTGACGAGCCTCCAGGGTTCCCACGACTACTGGTTTGGAGCTGAGAGGAGAGGTGGCGTGTCAGCAGCAGCCGAGGACGATCTGCATCAAGCTTCCCCTCCTCCATGCACAGAAAGTAACTGTGAGAGCTAAAACCGGTTTGGCTCAGTGGTAGAGCATCGGTCTGCGGACTGAAAGGTCTCAGTTTCGATTCCGGTCAAGGGCATGTACCTTGGTTGCGGGCACATCCCCGGTAGGGAGTGTACGCAAGAGGCAGCTGGTCGATGTTTCTCTCTCATCGACGTTTCTAGCTCTCTATCTCTCTCCCTTCCTCTCTGTAAGAAATCAATAAAGTATATTAAAAAAAAAAAAAAAGTAACTGTGCGAGTCATCAAGCACCCACAGGGGACCCTGGGCTGGTTTCCATATTTTTAATTGTATGTATTTGGCCCAAGTAGAGATCTTTTCATTTTTTTATGAAATTGATGCCACAATTTTAAAACTAGGAGAACTCACACACACAAAAAAACCATGATTCCTGTTTTTCTGAAAATTCAGAATCTGACAACACAGGTTCGGGTGATGGGAGCTGCTCCCTTTAAAAAGGCCCCCTGTCCTCTGGGTGATGCCCCGTTCTAAATCATATCTACCCTGGCCCCTCTCACATGGAAGTCAGCACAGGGCCCCCTCTCGAGGCATTCAGTTCCGTATCCGGGTGAAACGCTCAGTTACACAGCCAAACGAGCCTGAGCCTGAGGGCCCAGCTTCACCTTGAACCACGTGTGGCCCTGGGTGGGCAACTTCCCTCCTCCGGGCCTTCTGGGAAATGGGGCTATTACCTCCTACCTTGACGGCTGTTGCCATTTCTGAGTAGTTTTCATTTGCAGAGAGTCAAGTTCATGTGTGGAGGGATACCGTTCCGAGTCCTAACACCGGCAGAGATGTGTGTCACCACCACACACAGAATGCGGGACAATGCCATCTGCCACTGACTCCCTGAGATCACCAACCGTCCCCAGCCCCCACCCCCGGCAATCACCGATCTGTCTGCCGCCATCACTGTAACCTTGCCTTTCTCGGTCTAATTTAATTAAATATTTTGTTAGATATAACGATGTCATCATTACCCCTGGCACTTCTGTCTGCTCATAGTGATCACACAAATAACAGACAATGAAACACCATACAGCTTTCATCCCCTCCCTGAGCGATGCTGGAAAGCATCTAGCATCCCCTTCCACTTCCCCATTTCTCAACCCATCCACGGCTTTTCACGGGTCCCTCTCTGATCCTCTTCCCTACAACGCCCCCATTCCCAACGCTTCCCTTCGGGGACACATGAGGCACATATCCCTGAACGGGAAGGACTGTGGAGCTCCCACACGGGAGGGGAGGGGCCTGGTTCGGCTGTGCCCGCCCCCCAAACGTCGGGCAGGAAGCAGCCACTCTCCCACGGTGGTTCAGGCCGCACCGAAAGCCCCACGGGGTCACGAGGATGCCCACGGCCCGCCTGGGCCAGGGAAGGCGCTATTCCTGCCACGCATGGCTGGCAGAGAGGAAGCGTGACCGTGAGAACGCCTCCACACGGCAATGCTTTTTGGGGTGCGGAGGTGGGCCTTCCGCCCACCTCCGCACCCCGAAACCAAACCACACTGCTGGGCACGGTGACTGTTCCCCAAGGCAGCCGAAGGGCGGCCTTGTGTTCAAGGGAGCAATTTCCACTCCTGAATCTGAACGGGAGCCCCTCTGTCCCCCCGACTGGTCAGTCCCATCGGGGTGGCACTGACGGTGACCGGGTGCACAGGGCCCTGGCCCCCACGGGGCACAGGCTTGACTCGGGCCTGCCACCTTCGGGCTCTGCCATCCCTGGTGCCCAAAGCCACCAGACCCATTTCTCTTCCTGAAAAGGCCACTGTGGGAAGACGTGCACCGGGAGGCACTGACCCTGCAGGCTCTGTAGTCTCGCTGAACATCCTCCGAAAGCCCTGTCCTGAGGCCCCGGGACCACACACACAGGCGGCTCGCTCCTGTCCACGCTCCTGTCCCCCTTCCTGTGACCTGTCTCCACCCGCCCTTTACAACCTAGACCAGGGTCTTCATCTCAGCACTACCAACGCTGGGACAAGAAAATCCCCTGCTGGGGGCTTAGGGGGTGGGGGGCAGGCTTCCTGGGCAGCGTGGGATGTAAAACCACATCCCTGACCTGCAACCACTGAACCACTCAATGCCAGCAGCAGGCACCCCCTGCCCAGCTCTGAGCACCACTGCTCTAGCCTTCTCCTCCCACCCACCCCCGTGTATAATCAAGATTCCCCGAATTACCCCTCCGGCCTCGACCTGGCCTCCGGGCACCAGAGTACACAATCTAAAACTGAACCCTTGGCTCCCATTTCTCCTGCCACATCCCCTCTGTCACACAGTCACTGGCACAGCCCCGTAATTCCTAGCTGACGTGGGCGGCCTGCTCTGCCCACTGCAGGATGGTCAACAGCACCCTGGCTTCGACACCCCAGATGCCAGCAGCACCCCCTCCCCCCCACCAGGTGTGACAACCAGAAAAGTCTCCAGACACTGCACGTACCCTCAGGGGAGGGGGGAACTGCCGGGTCTGGGAAGAGCAGACGTGGGCTAGTCTCCGAAGCCACCAAGAATCCTTCTAACCTTCAGTCAGCTCACATCCTGCTCTGCTCAATCCAGGGTCCTCAGACCTCATGCTCTCTAACCCACCTCCTAACCTCCGGGACACACCACCTGGGCTTCCTTGCCACTCCTCACAAACACAGGATCCTTACCCTCAGGCCTGTAACGTTCTTGTTCCTTCTGGAATGTTCCTCCTCCTGGTCCTGGCATGACTGGTTTTTCCTGTCATGAAACTCTCCCCTCTAAATAGGCCTTCCTTAGCCCTTCCACCCTCTAAACCACTGCCTCTTCTCCCCACCTCCCCCCCACCCACCTCTCTCCTTATCATATGAACATACTTTACCTTACGGAATGAACTGGCCTGTTTATCTACCTTGATGATTCTATGTTCCATTCTAGAACCCAAGCGCCGTAAGATCAGGGCCCCGCCCTCTGCCCCATGCCCACGCAATTCACAGCACATAACAGGTGCTCAATAAAAACTAGAAAACAGTGGAATGAATCAGGAAAGTAATCCTATCTAATATAGAGGGGATATGCTAACTGACCATCACACCCTCACAAAGATGGCAGCACCCACAGCCAATAAGGAGGGAATATGCTAATTGATCGCCACGCCCTCAAAGATGGCGGCATCCACAGCCACAAGATGGTGGAGCCTAGTCCCCTCAGCCTCCCAACCACCCAGAGGGCGCCCCCCTCCTCCGAGGCTCAGGTAACCATGGCAGTGGCAGCAGCAGAAGTGTGATGGGAGCGCCGCCTTCCACTAATCACCAGGTTGCCTCTCGCCCCTGAGGACTCCTGGACTGTGAGAGGGGGCAGGCCGAGCTGAGGAACACTGTCCCTTGTGTGAATTTTCATGCACCAGGCCTCTATAACTTCATCAACTTAGGTAATTAACATTTCCAATGCCAATTGCTGCTGAAGAATTTGATCTAAGAATATGCTGCACATAAAAAAGGTAAATAGTGATTCATAATACTTGATATGCATGCACACACCTATAACATCAAATATATGTATTTCACGTGAGAACTGGGTGGCCATGGTCAAGGGCAAGTACAGCTGTAAACACTGGCCTAAGATACTTCAACAGCCCCCAGGAGATCCCTCACTTGTCCCTTTTAGGGACCCATCTTCCTGTTCCTCTTACCTTTTCAACGGTTTACTCATCAAAAGCGTTCAAGAACCACACCAAAGAGGCCATCACAACTCGCAAACATTTCCAGGTGCCCCAGCAAGGGATTCCCAAAACCCCCACTGACCCAGGTTAAGGTTCAGGATGCTCCCGGTGGTGGCCATCTTGTCTGCCTTCGTGATGATTGGCGTGGACGCTTGAGGAGAGAAAGGTTTCGGGCTGCCGGACAAACTCCCTGCTTGGCCCGTCTTCATGGAGGCCGGCGACGCTGGAAAGATAAGGCACGTGTTAAAGCACAGAGTTACGCAGAAATAAACAAGTCAGACTTGCAGGTAGGTGTGGGGTGGGGAAGCACAGAGAGACTGTATCCGACTCCAGCAGGGCACCAGAGCAGGGGGGGGAGCGGGCAGGGCTGGCCATTTGTTTCAAAGCAAAGGACTCCCCCCCCCCATGTTAAACCGTTACAGCTACCCAGGCAGGAGGCCTCCCAGTTACTCTATGAGGCACAAAGCTCTAAGGCAAATCAGCTAAGCTGCCACTGAAACTGGTTTGGCCCATTCATGGGTGTCAAAAATCTCAAAATAAACAGCCATTTAAAGCAGCCCCCAGCACAGGCCAGACACAGAGACCAGAGCCAGGCTTACCAATGGCATGTCACCTGTTTGTGGGAGACACAGGGGTCAGCCTACAGCTGCTGCACCCCAGGAGAGCATGGGACACCCACTGCAGAGGTGCGATGCTGATAAAGCTAAATGCAGCCCCGAGGGAGTGGAGAGACACTGGTCAACTACCCCCCCTTTACTGTGCTGGGTGCCTGCCTCAATGTCCTCACCTGCCCACGGGGATGCTCAGAATGAACACTCAGTAATGTCTACACCAGTACACCGGAGGTCACCCGCTCTCCAGCACCATCACACCCTCACAAAGATGGCAGTGCCCACAGCCAAGAAGGAGGGAATATGCTAATTGACTGTCGTGCCTTCAAAGATGGCAGCATGAACAGCCACAAGATGGCGGCGCCCAGTCCCCTCGGCCCCCCAGCTAACGCTGCCTTTAACGGAATCCAGTGGGAAAGACTCTGGATGCAGAGAGAAGTGGGCTCAGGCATGGGCTGGCAGCCAGACTGTGTGCACATCCCAGCTCTGCGGCTGACGTGTGTGACTCTGGGTGTGTTACCTCAAGTCTCTGAATCTCCTTTCCTGGCAGCCACCAGGAGGAACATGCTACAAAGGGAGGATAACAGCACTATACTCATCCGTGGTGAATAAAAGCTTGTCATTCATTTATTCATCTCCAGTAGGGCAGTGTGCAGGAGGCAGCTGATTGATGTTTCTCTCTCATCGATGTTTCTAACTCTCTCTTCCTCTCCCTTTCTCTATGTAAAAAGTCAATAACATATTTTTTAAATTAAATGGAAATATTAACATTTCAAAGATAAATGTGAAGCAATGAGAATTTTGTCGGAAGTGTGGTACATTAAATCAGTAGCTCTCAATGGGGAATGGAGGGGTGACTGTATGCCCAGGGGACACATGCCAATGTCTGGAGGCATTCTGGGGTCCTCACTGTGAACAGGGTGCGCTACTGGCATCGCCTGGGTGGGAACCAGGGATGCTGCTAAGCAACCTACAGTGCCCAGGACAGTCCCAGCAGAGTGTCATCCGGCCCAAAGTGGCAGCAGGGCCAAGGCTGAGAAACCCCATTTGGAATCACGCGAGGCGTTTTCAAAAGCAATAAGACATTTGGAAACGCTCATTCCAATTAAGCTTTGAAACAGAGGCCAGTCCTTTTATAAAGCCGTAAATATGGCCCAAAGGAAAAACCATTGGCCTTTGAAGTCGCCAATAATTTAATAAGATTTTATACTTTGTTTGATGTGCAGTTTACGAGTGTGGGCTAAAGCACATCATTTATCATCTACATTTGCAAAAGCCTCGCCTGTGCTAAGTGCTGCTCTGACTACATGAAAACGGAGTCTTAGAATTAAGTTAGGAAAAGCGGCCCTTCCCTCCCTCGCACCCCAGCCCAACAGAGGGGTAGGGGTGAAGGAGGAGTGGGTTCATGTTAAATTTCCTGTTTATAAAACCTTGTAAACAATCTGTGTTCACAAGTCCTAGTGGATGAGTCACACAGAACATGACTGGACGGTCCTAGGACAGGACAGAAATGCTGTGTTGAAGAGTTACTTACTAGCATGAAAAGGCATTCAGAACACAAGGTTAAGTTAAAAAAAAAAAAAAAAAAAAAAAACACACTCCCGTCCACACTAGACATTGCAAACAGGTGATACATGCACCAAGCTGTGCCCAGATGTGTCTGACCTAGCATATTACTGTTGTTGTTTTTAAATGAGCCAATAAATAAAAGTCTGGGTAGTTTGCATTTAAAAAAATATCCGAAACTTATCTTGAACAACCAAAAATCTGGCTACACTCAGCCCCCACTCCCACGTGGCTATAACCAGGAGGGGAAAAAGGCCCCAGTGGCCTTTAGAAAAAGGGATAGCTCAGCATAGCATGCGTCTAATTGTAAACACGGCACCACTTTGAGGAGTGTTGCACACACAAGCACACGTGTGTACATGTAATGCGTCACGATAAGGTGTATTTCTGCTTTAGCTCACCCCAGTCCCTACCACTCCCCCCCATCTCATTTCCACACCCGCCTGGTCTCTGGACGTATCTGAGTTTTCAAATAAGAGAATGACATAAGCCAGCCTGGAGGAAGGACTGGGAACCAGCTAAGGGCTGGCGGTGGTAGGTGGTATCGTCTGTGTCTTCAGTCTTTGTAAAAACAATTGTGGCATAAATACATATTGATTTTACACTACAAAGGAGTTTATGGATGTGTTTTTCCTTCTTCTTAACCAGTAACCCATACAGAGCTGTAAGACCGACGGACCTTTAGCTCATGGGCCCCAGGATTCTCATCATAAAACATATTAATGACTTAAATTGGGATCCCACAAGCAAATATTGACAACGGCATCAATTCTGGCTATGAGGTCTAAATAAAGGAGGAAGCAAAAAAAAAAAAAAAAAAAAATCACTGAGAATATAGTAAACCACTTTGACCATTAAGACAATGGGATCCCAGTACAAGGGTTTGAGCCGCGCAAAATGCTTCTCCAAAAGCTAAGTCCACTTCTAAGGTCACAGACACACAATTCTGAGCTCCTCAATCCACACACCCTCTCCCCTCACAAAAAAGGTTTACAGGTTTTATTTATTTCCATTTTATGTTGCTGGTTAAAAATTTTTCATTGCTGAAACTATATGGTTTTTCTATTCTTTTGGCAATCTTTTTTAATTTTTTTTTTTAACACAATTTTGGATAAATCACGGTCTTGTCTGACTATAGGAACATTTCAATAACTAGTCCACTTCTTCCAGTAAATGTTTTTATCACTGCAAACAGCAGAGGGCAGTAGAGGGCAATGGAAAGAAAACCAGACTAGCCATTTCTACAGTAAGGATGGGGCGCTGGAACCCTGGCACCTCCCCCACACTCTCTGAAGGGACCTCAACTTGCCTTCTGTAAAATGGGGAGACTGAACCAGTTTCTCTTCATCTATATTATATAATAGAGGTTGGCGGACCAAGCTACGGGCCAGATCCAGCATATCACCTGTTCCTGTATGGCCTACAAGCTAAGAAAGTACTTATCTTGCCATTTTTATATGGTTTGGGGGAGAGGGGAAAAGGAATCAAAAGGATTAATAATTCACTAAACATACAAATTATATGAAATTTACACGTTAATGTCACAGCCACCTACTGCCTGTGGCTGTGTTAGTAACGATGACCATGTTGAATAGCTGCGTGGTTGTGACAGAGGCCCACTAAGCCTAACACATTTACTATCGGGCCCCTTACAGAAAAGGGGGCAATTTGTAAGATTAAAACAACTTTGAGTATCATCTTCTCTTCCTGAACTACTCACTGGCTGTACAACTCAGGATTAGCCAAATGACCCAAGCACATCCCAGCAAAGAGAATGTATTTTGGGAGAAGGACTTGAAAGTCTACTAACTTGCCTATTCCGGTTTGGCTCAATGGATAGAGCGTCGGCTTGGGGACTGAGAGGTCCCAGGTTCGATTCCAGTCAAGGGCATGTACCTTGGTTTCGGGCATATCCCTAGTAGGGGGTGTGCAAGAGGCAGCTGATCGATGACTCTCTCTCATCGATATTTCTAGCTCTCTATCTCTCTCCCTTCCTCTCTGTACAAAATCAATAAAAATATACTTTAAAAAAAAAGAAAGTCTACTAACCTAGGACCTAAAACGCTTCTCAAATGATCAGAAACTGTGCCAGGACTACTGATGTCCTTTCAAACTCTGTACCACCCAAGGGAAGAAAGAAGGAACTGGAAGTACTAGAACGAGGCAAAAATCGTGGCAATGCAGGTCCCGGCAACAGCGGTTCTTCCCGGGCCTGCCGCCGAGGTTCAGTTAAAGCACCTTCTCAAAGCAAGCTTTCCCCGGAGCCAGCAGGCCGGGAGTCTGTGCGATTGATTAGGCACCGTGTTCTGTTATCTGGGCATAAGTGGCATCATGCCGTGGAATAAAAGGAAGCTTTTAAGGATGCTGGCCAGAAACTAAAGGGCGAAAGGGAAGCTTTGTCCTGAAACTATGTCCACACGAGTTACTGCGTACTGACCAGAACAAAGGCTTATCTTACTATTCCCGGCACCGGCCTAAGCCTCTGTGTACTCTGATTCGCTTAATCCTTCTCGGAACCTATGATGCAGATCCTTTCCCCATCATCCCGTTGCAGATGCAGAGACGAAGGCAGAAGAGCTTAGGAACCCTGACTCCTGCTACACAGGTGGGAGTGGCAGAACTGGGATCGGAGACCAGCGTCCTCATGCTTAACCACTCCGCTACCGCAAGTCTCACAATGCCAGGCAGCTGTTACCCCGGGGACTTCTGAGGAGCGGGGCAGTTCCTGGGGCAAGAGGAGTACTGTTTACCCCGCATGTTTCTCTGATGAGTAAGCATGAAATGTCAGTTCACGGGTTGGATAGAACCATGTTTCCATCAAAATAAAGTTCTTGAGAAAGGAAAACTGGTGCGGGAGGTTGCTGGGATGCATCTAAGGGGCATTTGAGCTGAACCCTGAAGGATTTCTAACCATCTCTGCCCACTTCTAGGAGTGACCTACAAGCTGGCCTGCTGGGAATACTTCTGTCTATTTTTTGGTCCCCAACAGCAAGGATCCAGCTTCGTCCCTCTTTCCCTTGGAAGGAAACCCCAAGGATTCTCCCTGAGATTCTACGAAGCGGTCAGCACTGGCCACCGGTGTGGAAGCAGTGGATAGAGCGTCGGCCTGTGGACTGAAGGGTCCCAGGTTCAATTCCGGTCAAGGGCAGGTACCTTGGTGGCGGGCACATCCCCCGTGGCAGGGCTGTGCAGGAGGCAACTGGTCGATCTTTCTCATCGATGTTTCTAACTCTCTATCCCTCTCCCTTCCTCTCTGTAAAATATCAATAAGATATTAAAAAAAAAAAAAAAAAAAGAAGAAGAAGAGAAAAAGAAACCGGGAGGCCTCCTCCACCCGCCCCCGCCCGGGGCTGACCTGTGCTCTTGTCCAGGAAGTCCATGGACTCCTCGCTGGCGCTGAAGTGGCTGGACAGGGCCTTCTTCTCGGGGTCCTGCTCCACGTCGGAGCCGGTGTGCACGGAGGAGTTGGTGCTCATGGGGGAGCGCGGCATGTCGGAGAGGGAGATCCTGCGGCCGGCGCCCCCGCTCAGCATGGGCTTGCTCATCAGGATCTTGGGGGAGGCCGTCATGTCGAAGTTGAGCTTGACCTTCTCCTGCTTGTCTATCTTGGCGGCGCCGGCGCTGGGGTTGCTGGGGTCGAGCAGCATCTGGTACTGGCTGTTGGGCGTGTAGGGCGTCCTGAACGGGGAGTAGTTAAAAACCCCGAACTTCCTACGGATGTTCTCCACGTACACCTCCATCTCCTGCATTGCACTGTTGAAGATGCTCTTAGTCTTTTTCACAGAAAAAGGAATTTCTTTAGACATGAGGTAGCAATTATTTATGGGAACCCAGGCTCTAGGAGGGCGGGAGAGAAAGAGAGAGATTTTAAGTCGACGTTGGTCATTTCCAAGATTTTTACTTAACTTTTTAAAAACATTTACTTCAGGGCGGGGGAAGAGAAGAAGGTGGGGGGTGGGAGGGTACCGAGGCAGTTATTAAAAAAAAAACAAAAAAACATTTACTTCGTTGTGGTAAAGAACATTTAACAGTTCTACCGTCTTAACACACGTGTAAGTGTATGACACAGAATTGCCGGCTATGAGCACAAGGTTGTATGTACGGCAAGAGGATCTCTAGAGCATATTCATAGTGTAACTGGATAATTATGCCTGTTAATTAATAATCCCCCATCTGCCCGCCCCGAGCCCCTGGCAACCGCGATGCCACCTGATTCTATGACTCCGACATAGATTCCTCACATAAATGGAATCATGCCGTGTTTGTCCTTATATGATTGACTTATTTCACTTAGCATGCTGTCCTCCCGTTTCAGCCGTGTGGTGGAATAATTTTTAAGGCTGAACAGTACTCCACTATGTATACGCACAACACTTCCCTTATTCACTCATCAGTCAATGGAACATTCGGATTGGTTTCAGAATTGTCTTTTCCCTAACACAAACCCAACCAGCCTCATATGCTTGCCAAGATTCTCATAAATGCACATTCCTTTCCCTTGTTTTAAATGACTTGGTTTGAGTGGTTAATATATAATCCACTTAACACACATGATATGTCACCAGGACTGAACGCGACCATGAAATTAGCCAAAACATTAAAAGCCTCAATAGACTTAGTCATTTTAATCCATAAAAAATAACAATGTCCCTTTTGGCTTAGGGTTGGTAGAGAGTAAGAAGACAGTCACTGCATCCGAGACCACACCTGCCAAGAGAAAATTACTCCCCGGACTCACTATTTTGCACTCAAACAATAAAACATTTTCTCTTTTAAAATTGGGGTTCTCTAGATGGAGGGAGTGTCGGGGGGGTAGGTCAATCGGGGAAAAGGAGACACATGTATTCCTTTAAACAAAAAAAATTTTCTAATGAATTTAAAAACTGGGGTTCTCCATGGAGCAAGGAGGAAACAGTGGAAAGCCATAACCTACAAGGAGGTACATGGCTCTGAACGGGAGATACTCGCATGGAAAACCAGGAGCAAACAGCTCCTCACTCAGCCTTCAGCTCTGCACCCTCCATTTCCCAGGCCGGTCCCACCTCCCTACTTTCCAACGCGCGCCCCCCCTTCCCCCCCCCCCCACACACACACACAAACACCCCCCATGGGCTCTGCAGAGGCTGCACGGGAACATGAGCTGCTTTCCCGGAATCAGTGACCCACGTGACCTCAGGCAGGAGGTGGGCACACAACTCCCATGCTCTGGGGAAGGCAGAGCTGACACAGAAACATCCACGCTGTGTCTCAGATCACATTTTATTCCCCAGCCTCAACCTGGTTTGCAGCTGGGAATCTGGTGGGAGTGAGCTCTCCAAGGAGGCCCTTGGCTTTCTCAGACCATCAACTCCAGCCTGAGTCCCGCTGCAGAAGCCACGTACAGGGCGGGAGGAATTAAACTCACGGCCGTCTGATGCAAATACCATCCCCCTAAAGTGCCCTGCATGCCGAAACCGGTTTGGCTCAGTGGATAGAGCATTGGTCTGCGGACTGAAAGGTCCCAGGTTCGATTCCGGTTGGGGGCATGTACATTGGTTGCAGGCACATCCCCAGTAGTGGGTGTGCAGGAGGCAGCTGGTCGATGTTTTTCATCGATGTTTCTAACTCTCTCTCTCCCTTCCTCTCTATAAAAAATCAATAAAATATTAAAAAAAAAAAAGTGCCCTGTAAGCATCAGCCCCACACTACCGAGCCACCCAAGGTTTCAAAAAGAGAAGCAATAGGAACTTTATACGCTTCACCCAAATTCTAATGGTTGGCATCTCGCTCCTATTTTTTAAAAGAAAAAGCAGCCCAGGGGAAATAAAGGATATGCATGGGGCAGAATTCAGGGAATAGGCTGTTTGCAAGTCTTGGGGGTGCTAGATTGCAGCGAACACTAAATCAGAACCCCCAACATCTGCGCTCTGAGTGCTGGGAGCGACCAGCTCCTGGTCCAGCCCAGCTCGCTGCTGCTTCTATGCCAAGACCTGAGGGACCGCACCTGCAGCCCGGGAGGCACGACCTAGACTCCAGGCCTGACAGCTGGGTGGGCGGGGTCCGGACCAGGCGGGACAGATGTGCAGAGCGGCCAGGCTCCCAGGAGGTCTGCAGACACAGGACTCCCTGTCCCTGAGAGATGGCAGCCTCCGCGCTGCCACCAGTAAAAGAGAGGAGGTGCTCCAACCTGGAGGGGTGCCAAGAGGAGCAAACAACGTGCCCCAGTCCCGGCACCACCAGGAGCTGGTCAGCCATCGGGCCCCGGGACCGAGTTTCCCCCACACTGCCATCTGGGATCGGGGCCTTACCTGCTTCCTCCCAGGTTCTTAAGTGCCTTCAACAAAGTAGCTTGGCAAGTGATTTCTGGAAAATGAGTGTTTCTTTTCCTTTAAGCAGGCCCAGGAAATATTTAAAGAAAAATTAGATTTGCTTAACAATACACAGCCTGTGTGGGGACAATGTGGCGAGAGGCCACAGCGGAGGTTCTTCCTAGCTCCGGGCCTCAGTGTTCTTACCAGTGAAATGGGGATAAAAGCAACTTTTATTTTTTTTTTTAAAAAAGCACTTAAAACAGTGCCTGCTACATCGCTGGCCCTCAGTGAATGCCAGCTCTGCGGGAATTTAATAAGATGTTTTTTTACTTAAAAAAAAACATCAAAATATATTTTAATAATTTTTTGAATAGCATTTAAAGTTGTGTGTTTAGTTGTGTGTGTTTTTTAATATATTTTAATTGGTTTTAGAGAGGGAGGAAGGGAGAGGGAGAGAGAGATATAAACATCGATGAGAGAAACATCAACATCAATTGGCCGCCTCCTGCACACCTTATGCTGGGGAATGAGCTCAAATCCTGGGCCTGGGCCCTGACCGGGGATGAACCAGCAACCTCTTGGTGCAGGGGCTGATGCTCAACCACTGAGCAACACGGGCCGGGTGAAATAAAAATATTTTAAAGGACAAAAGGCAAGTAATGAGTCACTTGAGAACGTGCCTTGATTTGCACAAGGGCCTCCCGGGCCCCAGTATTCATTACCTTGATGGTGGCCAGGTAATCGTCTGTAATATGTCTTACTCTGTGGCCTTGACCTATTTCACTGACACCAGTCAGGCTCACATTTTGGCCCCACATCCCCGAAAGCAAGCTCCCCCTAAAAGGGACAGCATGCTCCTCGTCTTGCAGCCTCCCTGTCGTCTCCCCGCCATGGTCCTGGGTCTGACCCAAAGCCAGCTGTGGACAGCGTGGCTCCATTCTGCTATAGAGGCATCTCGGGGGAGGGAGGGATGCTCATCCTGGAAGGAGTGTCTTCCCCCACTGCTGGCAGGGCTAACTGACACATCCCTATAGGCCAGCATACTGGCCCTGCATCACTGTGCGTGTCCACACACCTTGCCCAATGCACGTCCCTCACCCAAATCGAGCCCAATAGCTCAGCATGTTCCCCGAGGGGGCAGAGGACACCGAGGGAGCTCCAGAAAACCTAACCAGGTTTGTGCTGCTGTCTGAAAAAAAACAGCCTCCAGAGCTAGCCAAGTTCATGCCCCACAGCCACCTTCCAGGGGGTCAGAAGGAGAAAAAGGTCCGTGCAGAGCGGCTCAGCTGAAAGTAGATTCTAGGGGTGGGGAACATTGGGTGCACGGGGGCCTGTATCCTAAGGCTACCCTATTGTTATCCTGCAGAACAAGAACAGCCCCAAACCTTCAGGACGGTTAACACCTGCATGTTCGCATGTTCTAACGAAGAGGCGGGAAGACGGGCACCTGCCACCAAGGCCTTTTGCTCTTCAAATACAAGCCAGGCTCCTGACAGCAGCCCATGTGATCCAGGGACTGCCCAACCCCCGAACCCCACGTCTGACCATCCTCGCCGCCCTCATCCTGGCTTTTCCCCCGGCACCATGGGCCTTGGCCCTTCTGCGCCTGAGTCTCTGCTCTCTCTGGCCCCGCAACCCAGACCTTCACTGGGCCCCACCACCCGGCCCCTGCTGACCTGAGCGCATCGTTCCTGCCTGTTTATTGTGTGTTATCAGTCTTGCCCACTGGGATGCCACCCCCTTGATGGGCAGACACAGTGGTGCCTGCCTACCCAATCCTAAGGCCCCAGCATCCAGCACACAGCCAGGCCCACAGCAGGCACCAAATACCTATTTCTTTTTTTTCTTTTTCTTTTTTCTAATATATTTTATTGATTTTTTTACAGAGAGGAAGGGAGAGAGATAGAGAGTTAGAAACATCGATGAGAGAGAAGTATCGACCAGCTGCCTCTTGCACACCCCCTACTGGGGATGTGTCCGCAACCAATGTACATGCCCTTGGCCGGAATCGAACCTGGGACCTTTCAGTCCGCAGACCGACACTCTGAGCCAAACCGGTTTCGGCCAAATACCTATTTCTTTGAGTGAACAAATAAAAATTTTTAAGAGAGTTCCAACAAAAACAGTCAAAATCATGTAAAGGGTAATACCTCCTATCAAACCCTCCATCATCTCAGCTAACTTCCATTTCGCCTCCTGACATGGTTGGGCCTGGGTTCCTAGTCAATGGTTTTGTAGGTTACGTTGGAATTCACTCTTTTCTTTGACTTGCGAGATGATAAGCAACATTTACCAGCGAGCGGGTGCGGCAGATGCCGGTGCGGTAAGAAATCGTACGTCCAGTGGCTGTGTGTGCCGTTCAGCACTGTGTCTTTTACACCATCTCCCCTACACACTCCCATGCTTTTGTCAAGTGGCTTCCAGAGGGCTTCTGCTCATTTAATCATAACTTAACTCGCCAAAATGGAGCTAAGATATTAGCTGCCGCTCATCTCAGCCTACCTGTGGCTCTCGAGCACGCAGGGGGCTGTGCAGCAACGAGAACTGCTAATCACGGGAGTAACTCCGTTCGCAGTGGGCGAGGGGGAGTGGAGAGGCTGGGAGGGAGGCTCACACCTGCCAGAACAGTCCCCCGTATAATTCCTCATTTAGCTTCAGAGAAGCAGGGGAGGAGGGGGCAGCAATAGGAGATCCATTTACCAGTAACCTGGGAAAACGCTTCTGATCACAGAAAGCATTATTTTAAAAACCCATTTGCACACCAGTTCGATTTACCCCAGGAAAAAAAGAACAGCAGCCTTCAAAATAACCATGGAACCTTATGTTGGAGCTGGTTTCCATCAACAAAAGCACGAAAGCAAGATTACTCTTCTCATGTGCCTGAAAAAGCCGAAGCCCACGGCATTGTTTCCGGGCCAACACCCAGCCCAGGACAGGACTTTTAAACCACGAGATCACCGGTGGGTATCGTGACAATGAACGCAACGAGAGCCATACCGTCAGCTCCTCCTCGTACCCACCGACCGTATCAAAGGTTCAGGGAGAGCTACACGCTGGCAGCCCGTGTGTAACGCCCACCTGTCGTGTTGTCCAAAGAACCGGGCATCCACCTGCCCATCTTTGTCCCTCAGAGCTTTGGCAGGCCAGAATGGGAAGCCCTTCAGTTTGGCCCAGACCAAAGGATGCGGATTGCTCTAGAAGAAGAAAACAAAATCCAGAGTCTGAATGCGTTTGGCAGCAAGAGACAAATCATACCGCGTGGCACATGGGGATGAAGCGAAGCAGAGGGGATAAGAGGCCACAAACTGGAAGAGAACCGTTTCCACAGTCTCCCAGGCGGTGTCCCCTGGGCGAAGACGGGGATGGGTACACGGTGACACCAGGAACTAAGCGCTGACAAAACGGGACTTGGACACCGGCTGGTACCGCGGTTACCTGGGTGGCCCTGAGCGAGATCCCACCTTTCTGTGCAAAACTCCGAGGCAGCAGCACTCAGAGCCTCTGTGAAGGTGGAGGATTGCACGTGTGCTGTATTTGCATGTAATAAGGGGCAGGAGTGGCCTCTTTGGTTCTTTACGGAGAGCTCCTCAAACCCTTAACCATTTACGGGCTCATCTCCAGGGGCATGGGGAGACAGAAACTACTCCACCGCCACCAGCCCACGCCAAAGCTGCAATTCTCTACACAGAACCCCAGGCCGGTGCATGCAGAACCACAGGGAAACTAGGGTGATTTTTCTCCCGACCCTCCCACCACCATATTTAGAGAGACCTTGGACGTAATCCAAGGAGGTATTGCCAAGCCTCTTAAAATAGATCTGTGAATGACACACTCAGTTAACACTTGTGTCACTCTCTGCACCACGCCGGCCAGTCACCGCTCTCTCCACGGGCTGCCGAAGAGGATTCTCCTACCTGCGCTGCTCTCACTCTGCCATAACTTCACCAGTGAGAACATTATTTAAAAACGCCATCCAAAGTCTGGCCGCACGAGCCACCGAGAGAACGCTGCCGTGGGTAGTCAGTCATCCGGGCCCAGAGCTCAGATAACGAAGCGAAGGGAATCCAACTTACACAAGGCTCACAAAACCAGTTGTCGCGTTTTTGGCAAGCAGCTAAGTAACACTCCGGACACACTTCGATTTCGTTCATCTGTAAAGCAGAGATAGGTTAGATAGAAGGGGGCACGCCAGGGGGGCATGCTAGGCCCTCGGGAAATGCAAGATGACACTGGCAACTAACATTAACTGAACAAAGTCACACATTAGAAAGACACTCTCTCACCCAGCCCAGGCCGCCATCACCTCTCCTGGAACATATAGCAGCTCCCTCTCACTCCCCACAGAGTCACAGCAGCCAAAGCCACCCTCTGCACACATAAACTGGATCTTCTACCAGTGTTTCTTTACCACGGAGGCTTCACGCCTCCAGGAACTACTGGGGTAAGGGGAGGCAGGGCGGCGTGGTTTGCAGGGGGAACTAAGAGGTACAGAACAGTCCCCCACAACAAAGGAACCCTCCGCCTTAAATGTCAGCAGTTCCAAAACTGAGAAACCAACAGTAAAATCTAAACACCTGATCAGTTCCTTCAAGACCAGGTATGATCTGGCCTCATCCACCTGCCTCCAACTTGCCAGGCTCAGTTTCTATGCATCTCTACTCACACCATCCAGACCAGTGGTCGGCAACCTGCAGCTCACAGGCCACATGAGGCTCTGGAGCCTCGGTTTGCCGCTCTGTTGACTAATGAGTTTGCCAACCACTGTCATATACCACCCTTTACCTCCTGGCACACAATATGCCACAATCGCCTAATCCTCACAGCTTCCAACTACACGGTAACGTTTAGTCTAGCAGTGGTCACCAAACGCATTACCCAACAGAGCGGCAAACTGCGCCTCATGAGCCTGAGCTGCAGTTTGCCGTCCACTGACCCAGACGATTCGTTAATTCCATGTTGCCCTATTTTACTGACAACCTGAAAATAATATTACTGCCTATCCCTCTTTTTCTTTGAAATTTTATGTTTTCCATTGATTTTCTAGAGAGTAGAGAACAAGAAGAGGAGGGTGGGTGGGTGGGAGGGAGAGAGACTGATGTGAGAGAGACACATGAATTACATCAAGTGGTTGCTTCCCACACGCACCCGGAGCCCCGAACATGGCTGGGGATCGAACCTGTAACCCAGGTGCATGCCCTTGACCAGAAATCGAACCCATGACACCGTTCAGCTTCCGGGCCAGTGCTCCCAACATTGAGCAACACTGGCCAGGGCTCCTTCTCCCTCTGAAGAAGTGCATTTTCCTAAAATATCATCATGTCTTAGTACCAAGGGCCCAGGAAGCTCACGGAATGGATCTGAATTCAGACTCCACGGTTTCAGAGGGAAAACATGAGGAGCCAAGAAGTCAAGTAGCATGGCCCCGGTCTCACCGCAGCCAGTGGCAGGGCCAGGAGCTGACCCCAGGCAGCCGGGCTCCAAAACCCACACTTCACCCCTGCCCTGTGAGCTGCTACATCTTCTATCACCTCACTTTCTCTCCATCCTGCAAGGTGCCAAATACATGGCAGGCGCTCAGTTAAGAATTAATTATTAACCTCATAATTATAATTTGTGATTACAGCTGAAAAATGAATGCCGGGGTGTGAAACCTTTCTACCCAGCCTACTTCTAATCTAATGGTCCTGGATAGAACAAAGTGATAACACCATGCCCAGGACAGCCCTGGCCTTGGAACCCACCAAGCCACAGTGCACCGCCAACAGGGAGATTAACGCCAGACAGCGCCCGGGCGGGGTGGCTCAGTTGGCTGACGCATCATCCCATACACCAAAGGGTTTCAGGTTCCATTCCCAGTCAGGGCATATACCTAGGTTGCAGGTTCAAACCCCAGTCAGGGCATGTACAGGAGGTAATTGATCAATGTTTCTCTCTCCCTCGCTCCCTTCCTTTCTCTGTAGAATCGATGAAAAATATCCTCAGGTGAAGATTTAACAGGCCCTCGCTGATTTGGCTCAGTGGATAGAACCTGCAGACTGGAGGAACGGACTCGCCAGGGCCACTCTGGCTACCCACTGGGAGATCATGCACATGGAAATTTCAGCCACCCTCGCCTTACTCTGGACGCATTGAAAACACAACAGCGAGAAACACATACCTCATGCTCACAGATTTTGATGACTATTTTCGCTATTTGCGTCAATTTGTGATTTCCTAAGGGAATAAGAAAATTGGATTAATTCAAATGGAATCATGTTTATGCCCAGCCCTGGGATTTTATTTCCATTAACAACCTTTTAGCTTGCTTTCTCCCACGATGAAACTTTTAAAGGCTAAATAAAAACCAGGAGGTTCTGGCTTCTCGTGCCGATCAAATTGTGTGTACTCTCCCATAACTGTCGGCCAGTCTCTGTGCCATGATGCCATCTTTTCTGGAAATGAGCCATTTGTGGCATTTCCCTACAAGTTTTGAATTCAAATTGAAAGATGCTTTTACAGCCAGGCTGGCACGGCTCAGAGGTTGAGTATGGACCCAGGAGAACATGGTTCAATTCACGAGCAGGGCATGTGCCTGGGTTGTGGGCTCGATCCCCAGTGTGGGGCATGCAGGAGGCAGCCAATCAATGATTCTCTCTCATCACTGATGTTTCTCTCTCTCTCTCTCCCTCTCCCTTCCACTCTAAAATCAATAAAAATTATTTGTAAAAAAGTAGGTGCTTTTTTACATTTTAAAGGCTCAAGTTAGTGGAAAGGAGTCCTCCTCTACCCACTGTCCCAGACTCCCACCTAAGAAGAGTACGGAGGGGAAAAGACACTGAATCACGTAGCTCAGGTGGACCCAGTGCCTGAAAACACATTCTCTTGTCATAATATAGGGAGCAGATATAAATATTCCCATTTCATTCCTGAGTTAGCCAAGGCTCAGGCTTCATCACTAGCTCCCTTAGCGAGTGAGTTAAAGGTCTGGCCCCAGAACTCTAAATCCCTTACCTTTGCACTAAACCAGAGGACAAGATGGTCAGAAACCCAGGTTTTCTTCAAATGATACTTTATTTTCGAAAATTGTATGTTCGCTGGCAACAAGATTTCACACACACACACACACACACACACACACACACACACACACACACACCAGCACCTAGATTCCTGGCTTGCCTTGAAAACTCAGGGAATCTGATAACTCTGCCCAACAAGTCATGGAGTGTCCAGGGGCAACCCCGCCAGGCCAGGCAGGAACCCCACCAGAAGAGGCAGGCAACCCCCCAGCGTCCTGCTCTCCCCACTGTAGGTGCCAACCCTGTCTCACCAGTCCTCATTCACTTGTTTATCTAAATTCTCAATGCCTAGTGACTCTCCTCCCTGCCTGCACCCCAACCTGCTGCTAAGCAAAACATGGGCTGTGAGTAAACATCTACCATCCGTGTGTCTTTTCTTACACATTACCTAAACGTTTGTGCTAGACCCAAAGGCATGCAGGGAACAAGACGGGGTACCTGACTTAAAGAGCTTACATCCTGATAAGCAACTCAAACCAATAAAAACAGCACCGTCCAGAAAGGGTAAGAAATGCTGCCGCAGTCGAAACCGGTTTGGCTCAACGGATAGAGCGTTGCCTTGTGGACTGAAAGGTCTCAGGTTCGATTCCGGTCAAGGGCATGTACCTTGGTTGCGGGCACATCCCCAGTAGGGGGTGTGCAAGAGGCAGCTGATCGATGATTCTCTCTCATCGATGTTTCTAACTCTCTATTCCTCTCTCTTCCTCTCGGTAAAAAAATCAATAAAATAAAGTAAAAAAGGAAGAAGAAATGCTGCCAGAAAGGCAGGTGCAGTGGCAGCCCTTAACAATAACATAGGATATGGTCTGGCTCACCAGGGAAATCTCTTCAGAGGACTGAGAGGCTGAGGCTGAAGAATAAGAAACAGCCATCAAGAAAAAGAGGAAACGCCTGTTCCAGCAGGGGACAAGAAAACAGGATCAGGCAGGACACTGAGAGATCTGCTAGCCAGAGGGAAACAGAGAGGATTGTGGGAGAGAAGCTGAGGCAATGAGAAAGATGCCAAGGAGATTTTTCTGTCGAGAAGGCTCATCCTCTAAATCCACGACAACACAACTGACAAAACTTTATTCAGAATAAAAAGCTCTCCTACAACTCCTACAATAATAGAATACAAAAGTCCAACTTTTTAAAGGAGCAAAAGATTTTAAAAGGTCGTTTAACAAAAGATATACAAATTACTTATAAGTGCATGAAAAGAACCTCAATACCATTAGTCCTTACAGGAAGATGAATTAAAAACCGCCATGACATAATATTTCATATCTTGCCGAAGCCGGTTTGGCTCAGTGGTAGAGTGTCGATCTGCGGACTGAAAGGTCCCAGGTTCGATTCCGGTCAAGGCATGTGCATTGGTGGCGGGCACATCCCCAGTAGGGGGTGTGCAGGAGGCAGCTGGTCGATGTTTCTCTCTCATCGATGTTTCTGGCTCTCTATCCCTCTCTCTTCCTCTCTATAAAGAATCAATAAAATATACTTATAGAAAAAAAATATTTCATATCTTCAAGAATGGCTAAAATTGTCCCAACTGGTTTGGCTCAGTGGATAGAGCATCAACCTGGGGACTGAAGGGTCCCAGGTTAGATTTCGGGCAAGGGCATGTACCTTGGTTGCGGTCACATCCCCAGTTGGGAGTGTGCAGGGGCGAATGATTGATGTTTCTCTCTCATCGATGTTTCTAACTCTCTGTTTCTCTCCCTTCCTCTCTGTAAAAAAAAAATCAATAATTTATATATATAAATAAAGAATGGATGCCGGGACCGGTTTGGCTCAATGGATAGAGCGTCGGCTTGGGGACTGAAGGGCCCCGGGTTCGATTCCGGTCAAGGGCATGTACCTTGGTTGCGGGCATATCCCCAGTAGGGAGTGTGCAAGAGGCAGCTGATCAATGACTCTCTCTCGTTGATGTTTCGAACTCTCTATCTCTCTCCCTTCCACTCTGTACAAAAATCAATAAAATATATATTTTTTTAAAAAAACTTTGTTCATAGCAACCAAAAGCTGAAAATAACACAATACCCATCAACAGGGTGAGTGAATAAATAAATTCTATGTTGATAAAACTAACAAACACAGCAATAAAGAGAAATGAACCACTGACACACACACAACACATAAATGAATCCCAAAAATATTATGCTGCATTCATGAAGCCAGACACAAAAGAGTCCAATGCAATCTCTGGCTCCATTTACATGAAATCCTACAGTATACAAAACTAATCCACAGTGACAGAGAACAGAGGAGTAGGCGAGATTTACTGGAAAGGGGAAAGAGAGAATATAATAGGATGAAAAAATTCTAGACCTTATTTGGGGTTGTGCTTACACATATGTCAAATATATAGAATGTACACAATAAAACCTGTACCTTTTATCTTATGTTATTATTACTCCATGACAATGAAGTTTTTCAAAAAGGACAGGCAGCAGCATCACACAGCCAGTAGGATGTCAACTCAGATGTAAAATACTCATAGTCACCGGCCTCTATTCACAAACATCAGCAATCCCTACACAAGTATCCGAAGGTATTAGCTCTCATGCGTGAGAAGAGAGCCTGGTTTTCTATGAAGAGTGGCAGAATGGGCAACACACACAACATTCTCTCTTTCCTGGGCATCATCTAGCACTCACCCCCGTTATAAATGATGCAGTTGTGCAAAATCCACTTGGCGTCAGCCAGGAAGGCTTCCGTGCAGCCATACATTTTCTTCTTCGCGTTCTGGAGAGACAAGCCATAGGCGTAATCACCACTGAGCCCACACCAGCCACAGCCAGCAGCATCTGCGCCCCCACATAATTTTCTTAGCAGTCATATGCCAAATTAATTAATGCTTTTACTCATTTCCCAAGATGCTGTTATAGTGGAGATGTATAACTCCATAAAAATGCACCCCCTGAATGTATCACACTAACCTGAATTTTCCATTTTACAACAGCTTATTCATATGGGAGAGGACATAACATATACTTATGTATTTATTATTATTTGTAATAGTCTCCCATAAGCCTCGTGATTAAGAACTCAATGAGGCAGTCATTACCATCCCCATTTTACAGAGAGGTAGACCGAAGTATGGGCATGTTAAGGAACGTAGGCAGTGTCCCAAAGCTATTCATGTATGAAGCTGGAATTCCAGCCCTGCCTTTTCTGAATGCCTGTTTTTTGGAATACCATGAGCATGTGTGCAATTTTCCAAAAGCAGGTTGGATGAACTGTTTTGGGAACAACCGTGCACACACGTTTTTCCCCTCACCCATGCTTTCCTCACCCAGATTTTGGTGTCAACAATTTGAAAATCAACACAGGATGTGGTGCACAATCTATCGGTTTACAAGTGTCGTTTTCAGCATGGAGATTTAGCATGAATTTTTAAAAACACCTCCAGGCATTAAAGAAATAACGCTTATCGGTAAAATAAGTCAAGTTCTATGAAGCCACAAATGCACTGCTAATGCAAAGGTTTCCCAGACACTTAATTTTCTCTTTTGCCCTCCTGCTGCTCTCATTAGCACCTCCGCAAGGGAGAGAAGACGCGAGGCTGAAATCCATCAAACTGCCAATTTCTTAGAAGCTATGATTTTTTCAGGTGGAGAATCACAAGCACAAGTAATATTCGGAGCTTCTCCTTGCGCTGCAACGCTCCATTGCAATCCTTGCAAAAATGTTACAGAAGAAGTTAGGGAATAAAAATTCTTCCATCCAGCCGGGACCGGTTTGGCTCAATGGATAGAGCGTCGGCTTGGCGACTGAAGGGTCCCGGGTTCGATTCCCGTCGAGGGCATGTACCTTGATTGCGGGTATATCCCCGGTAGGGGGTGTGCAAGAGGCAGCTGATCGATGACTCTCTCTCATCGATGTTTCTCTGTCTCTCTCCCTTCCTCTCTGTATAAAATCAATAAAATATATTTTAAAAAAAAATTCTTCCATCCCAATAAAAATTCAGAGGACATGCAGAGAGACCATCTTGAGATGGGGTACGAAAAATGAGGGCGGATCCTTGGTCATCTCGACAACCGCGGATACAACGGTGGGGTGCTCTGACGGAGGCCAACCTTTTCCAATGTGCACAGGTCCATGGGGTGGAAGATGTACTCTGCATAGTCGGGATGCTGCTCCAGCGGAACAGGCTTCTGGAACGCATCTGTCTACAAAGGAAAAGACGTGCAACACACAGACACGGGCCCGTTACTGCGGGGGAAGATCAAGCATGAAGACCAACAACGCACTTTACACAGGAAACAACTTCTCAGACAAGAGGCTTCTCAGGTTTTCACAGAGAATGATCCTGAGGAGCGGTCCAAATCAGTTTTCCTTCTAATTCTGCCTTCTTATCCATAATCATGGACCTGGCTGTGTTCTGGTTTCATTTGCTCCCTTTTCAAGATAATATGCAAATAGCAGGTCCTGTGCTTCTTACCCATGGAGGAGCAAAAGTAGGTTCACAATTGAAAATAACAGTAAATAATAACACGAGAATGAAGTGTGTGTTTCACGTGCTCACTGCTGTAAACCTAGTTTTGCCCCACCCTGTATTAAGATGGACAAGAACAACTACCAATCAGTTCCTTTAGACCTGAACGTTGAATGAAGTTTATCTATACAGGGCAAATACCCATAATCAAAACTGACTGAGGACGAACTATGTCCACACCTAGAAATTGTGGCCATAAGTTAAGCTCCCAAAGTGCCAGCAGATATTTTGCACGTGGGAGAAAAATTTAAACAGCGAGATTTTGCGTCTCCTTTAAAAAGCCCAGTTACTCCAACACAGGAACCGTGTAAGTTTCTTATCTTGATCCATTTTCTTAAGCCCTACTTGAATCAGCTAAAAATATAAGCCTGATATGTTGAGGGGTGGTATTTATCAATAAAAAAAAAGATTAGAAGATCTATAATAATTAAAGCATAATATGCTAATTAGACCGGACATCCTTCCAGACAACCTTCCGGAGGGAAGCCCGGGTCCCGGGTGCCTGCTGATGGCCCGGGTGCCAAAGGAAAGCTGGTGCCAGCAGCCAGGGGATGGAAGGACTACCCTTGCATGAATTTTGTGTATTGGGGCTCTACTTTAGTTATAAATACCAAAATGTACTCAAGCAAGGGATCTGAGTGGGTTACCATTTGCAGTCAGCTGTGCCCTTTTATTCAGAATGAATGGGTGGCCACTGTAAGTTTAAAGGATGCTACTGCGGCCCTAGCCGGATTGGCTCAGTTGTTGACTGAGGGTCAAGTTCAATTCCAGTCAAGGGCACATGCCGGGGTTGCAGGCTCGACCCCCAGTAGGGGGCGTGCAGGAGGCAGCGGATCAATGGTACTCTCTCATCACTGATGTTTTCTATCTCTACCTTCCTTTTTGAAAGCAATAAAAATATGCTTTTAAAAGGTGCTGCCACAAAAATCGGCAACTTTCTGCAACGATTGGTTTTATCCTTTGTGGTTTATAATCCTACAGTGTTGACAAGTCTACATGATTATTCTTTTTGTAAACAGTCCTCAGCAGATATAAGTCAGCCTATGAAAAACAGGAAGTAATTCCTTGTCATTCAAAATAGGAAACTCCATAGTTTTAAAAATACCTGATTTTTTTAACCAAACGGAAGTGACTCACTTTTGCTCCCATTGATGGACATTTTAATAAGAGAAAAATAGATTACAATTTAGCAATACTTAAATGGCACACTCTCAGTCTTTTTCATCATAATATCAAATTTCACTATGTGAAATCTCAAAGTGAAAGCTTCCTTTTTTTTAAAAATTAAACCACAGTGTTACTAAATACCCTGAGATTCTACATTTCTATAGATTCATTGGACTTAGAAAGCAAACTCCGACTTAGAAAGCAAACTCCGAAGAGTCACAAAGGTTCGCTACTGGTACACGTGAGAAAAAGAGGACTCTATCCTCAAGTTTCTGTAGGGGAAAAAAAAAAGTCATAATATGTTGATTATAATGGCATAACATATGGGGTATTTTTAGAAGAAAGGTATTTTACTGCCATCTTCCTGAAAATGGTCGTGGGCATGAGCGCCCGGCACCAGGGGAAGGTATGGGGACACAAGAAAACTAAAACCTTCTTGGCTATATCAGCCTGGCACTCAGGAGGGAAACCATGTGAAGTGCACAATTTGCCAGCTTAATGGGAAGCCCTGCTCTCACACACTTTCTTCGCCCTGGCCGGGTTTGCTCAGTTAGTTAGAGCGCCATCCCAATACGCCAAGATTGCAAGTTCGATCCCCAGTCAGGACCAACCAATTAATGCATGGGGGGGGGAAATTGATCTCTCAAGTCAATAAATAAATTTTCCTTGCCCAGTTTGGCTCAGTGGATAGAGTTTCGGCCTGCGGACTCAAGGATCCCAGGTTCGATTTTGGTCTAGGGCATGTCGTACATTGGTTGCAGGCACATCCCCAGTAAGAGGTGTGCAGGAGGCAGCTGATCAATGTTTCTAACTCTATCCCTCTTCCTTCCTCTCTGTAAAAAAAAAAAAAAAAATTAATAAAATATATTTTTTTAAAATAATAAAAAATTTAAGGGGAAAGAGATGTACACCAAATTCTATTTCAACACTGAAGAAACTAACCCAATTCTCATTCTTTATGGGAAACCGCACTGGTTGAATTTTACTTGAAGGTTTCACCATCAGACCTTGATTGTAAGTAAACTGGTTATATTCAGGTCTCTCATTACAATGGAAGTTTACTAATTCACATGGGAAGGAGCCAAATTCCCCTTACTCGATGGGGTGTGAGGGAGTTTAAACCCCATAACCAATCAGAATTTTAAATCCCCATCAAGTTTTTCTACTATATGTCATTTCCCAAGTCCTTGAGGACACACACAGTGTTCAAATAGAGAACTAAATGCTGTCATAACTTACATTTCATTTACAGATGTTTGAATTCGGGCACATAAGACGGCCTAGAGAGCACGCATAGCTAAAGCTATTATGGAGTAAGAGTTTAACAGAACCACCCAACTGGCATGGCTCAGAAGTTGGGCTACAACCTATGAACCAGGAGGTTTGATTGGTTCAATTCCCGGTCAGGGCACATACCTGAGTTGCAGGCTCAATCCCCAGCAGGGGACATGCAGGAGGCAGCCAATCAATGATTCTCTCTCATCATTGATGTTTCTCTCTCTCCCTCTCCCTTCCTCTCTGAAATCAATAAAAATATATTAGCCCAACCGGTTTGGCTCAGTGGATAGAGCGTCAGCCTGCAGACTAAAGGGTCCCAGGTTCGATTCCAGTCAAGGGCATGTACCTTGGTTTGCAGGCACATCCCCTGTGTGGGGTGTGCAGGAGGCAGCTGATCGATGTTTCTCTCTCATCGATGTTTCTAACTCTCTATTCCTCTCCCTTCCTCTCTGTAAAAAAAAAAAAAAAAAAAAAAAAAAAAAAAAAAAAATCAATACAAATATATATATTAATTTTTTTAAAGATATTAAAAAAAAAACAGGTTAACAGAACAAAGGTCACTGCTTCCATTTACACTTATTCCATGAGGAACTTTCTTCTTACCCCTGGCTGTTTCATTTTCTGAATGGCAAACTTGAGCAGGTAGGACAACTGTTCGATGGTGAGCATTGTCATAGCTTTGCTCTGGGTCTCGATGCATTCTGCTACTGTAATCTTCTACAAGTCAAACCACACAGAGGGCCAGTTAGGGAAAAGTTACTACCCACAGCCTGATTTCCTTTTCCTCCTCGCTTTCCAGTTAGCTCACCCAGAGAAGACATAATTTCCAAGTGAGAGCACTTGTCTCACTTGACAAGGACTCCAACCCACTTGGAGTTTAGTGGGTGAATGGATAAAGGTCAGAAGCACACAGACCCACTGGCTACCGTCCTCGAAGTGCTCGGCGCTCATGAAGGTGACAGACTGTGAGGAAGCAGCCGGCAGCGAGGCAGGGACCTGAAAATTGCCATCATGACTATCTTGAGTCCCAAGAACGGGATAAGAGAAAAGGCCACGATGGCTCTCCGGGTGGTCTCTTCCTATAATGAATCAACCACTTATCTTGACGTTCTCCAGGTTCTGGGCTCTCTTCCAGGAAATTGACAAGCCATCCACTCAGTGACATCACTGATAGAAAGAATGTGAATCCAAGGGAGGGTGGCGAATAGTAAATGACCTAGTTCTCTGTCACCACCGACGTGAACTCACTTAGGACATGCTGGCAAACTACACAAGAAGCACAGCCTAACATGTCACAGGGCAAAACATGTCACTTAGGAAGGGAAACGCCCATCCAAGGAGAGACCCGGAGAAACGCCTGAAACGGGATTCTGCTGTGCCCATCTGGTGGTGCTACATCTCGGAGCCCCAGAACCCTCATGCAGCGAAGGTGACAAAACCAGCAAGGGCTGGTGACGGCAGGGAGCACTCTTGAACCATCTGTGTCGAGAGAGCAGAGAAAGTCTTCCCCAATGAATTTGGACTTCCTTTCCCTTCTTCCTATCTCTGGAGCCTCCAAAAGGAACGTTCAGCCATGCCTGGTTGTCGAGGAAAAAGGGGCAACACCGAGTGGCTCTGAAGCCGTAAAAAGAACATGACGCGAGGATCTAACTGCTTGGCAACCAGAGCCTGGAAGGCTTGTCTCCCCGGCTGCCAGCCCCTCCGAGTCACCTCGCAAGGAAACGGGGGCTTGAAACCTTAGACAGAGCAATCCTGTTTGTTTGCATGCCTGTCCGTGTCCAGGTAACCGATCCATGGCAAACACTTGGGCTGCGTGCTCAACTGTCATTCGCCTCCTCTGCCCCACACCCCTAAACCCTCCCTGCCCTCCCTCCTAGCTGGCAGTGCCCACGACGGAGACTGAAAGTGCCAGACATGCATTTTTCAAGCTTTTTTTTGCGTAAGGACTGGTGATCCAATCCTGACCAATGAACTGTGGAGCAAGTCTGCCTGATAAAAAGGGATGTGAAGAGGGACACTCCTTTTAGGGGATTTTTGTTGGCCGTTGTCACAAAATCCCCAGCAGCTGACGTGGGGCCATGCAGGGACACACGGCCCCAACGATGGAATGGAAAGAGCCTGGCTCTGAGCAAACGCTGGCCTGGTCCTGCCTCTGGGTTTTTCCTACACACGCTAATAAAACCCTCTTGCTTCTCCGTCCCCTTTCATCAAGATCTATTATTGGCAGCAAAAAACATCCTCTCCGAGCCGCTATCTTTTTTGCAAGATGAAGGAAGGGAGGGTTGGTCAAGACAAAAGGAAGTAGGTGAAGGCTCCAGTTCCCACACTGGAGAAAGGCAGGAGAATGAGGAGAGGTTCTGACCAACAGGGTGTAGTTGAGCAAAGCATGCCCCGCACGTCTCTCCTTCTAGAGCAGCGTCACCTTTCGGACCTCCCGGACCACCAGGGGTCCTCGGACCACCGGATGGCGAACCGACCGCTGCTCCAGAGTAACCCAAAGAGAACCAGAGGCCATCGTTTGCAATTTCAGGGGCAGAACACCATTAAAATGTCAGCATCCTATTGGATGAACATCTAATTTCTTATTTTTCTCCTTTTCCTATACAAAGTGGTACCACAGACACTATCCTAATACAGAGCTTGCTTTTTTCCCCCCCACAAATGACATCTGGGCAAACTTTCCATTTCACACACGGAAAGCTTCCTTCGTTTGAGATCGAATGCCAACAGGTCCTTTGGATCACATGACATTCCATAGTAAACGATTTTATAGACATTATTTCCAGCATTTGGAAAAGCATCCTAGTTGGAAGTCACCAAGAATAGAAGGCACTTCAGAATAGTGGGAACCACCACAACTATGTTAATGAATGTTTAGACTTTGCTGCAAAGGAAATAGAACATTCCCTTCACTGTCCAGTGTGCTCTGTCTGTCTGGGGTCCTGAACCTGCTGCCCTCTGCCTAGAGGGTCTTCACTCCTCCTCTCCAAGTCTTTCTCCAATCTTAGTCAGGCTTCCTGGACCTCTTCATTTAAAACGGGAGCACTCTGCGCCCTCCTCACTCCCTAGTCCTCATCGTCAATTCATTTTCTCCAGAACACGCTTCTCCTAACACACTGTCTCTGAACTTTATTTAGCCTGGTTTTTGCCCTTTCCTCATGAAAAGATTGTGATTCTTGCCTCTTTTTCTTTACTGCGGATTCCCTAGCACCTGAGCAACACAGAAGAAGCAGTTGTTGCCAGAATGGAAGCATCAGATGGCAACCGGAAGCATCAGATGGCAACCACACAGAACATGCAACCAAAGTTGGTCTGCTTAGCGTGGCTTCTGACGATGATTCGATGAGGAAGCAGGAGACAACATCCAAGAGAGGGAAGAACAGCATGAGATTTTTTTTCAGAATATGTAGATTTGTAAGTAAACTTCTGAAATGTTCATTACAAAAGAGAAGGTTGTGGATCTCAAAGCGATCCGAAGACCCATAAAGAATCTAAAAAATGTCTTTCCAAGAGGTCACGCTGCCAATGTTGGTCCAAAAAGGAGATAAATGACTTCTAGAGCAGATGGCAGGCAAGAAATTTCTCTTTTCCCTGTATCTTGATGATCTGAAGAGTTAAAAATACAAGGGAGAAAGAGAAAGAAGAAACAAGAAGACATTTCTCTTTTCCCTGTATCTTGATGATTGAAGAGCTAAAAAATATAAGGAAGAAAGAGAAAGAAGAAACAAGAAGAAATTTCTCTTTTCCCTCTATCTTGATGGCTTGGAGAGATAAAGATAGGCGGGAGAAAGAGAAAGGAGAAGAAACCAGGCAGAGAATGCATTCATTCATCAGAAACTGACCTCACATTCAGGACAAAACCAGTCCCCCTCTGGTTCCGATGTCAGTCTCAGACACTTAGCGTGATAAACCCGGGGACAGAGCTCACAGCAAAGGACTTGGCCTTCCCGGTGACAAACCCAGCAGTAGAAATCATTCCGTCCATCCTGCGGTACAACATCAACAGGGTCTGTGGTGAGTGGCTGCTTCATATAGTAAAACGGACCATGTCTTAGTTCTGACTGAAATGTAGGCAAGAAAGACAAGTTTGGTTTCAAAACAAATGTGCATTCTCAAAAGGAATTTTAACAAACACAACAATAAACAACAAAAGACAATTACAGCATTTCATACATTCATTAAAAAGCCATCCTGGATTAAGCTACTCAATACATAGTTTACAGATCATTACATATTAAGATTTTTTTTTCTTGCTTCTATTTTAAGAGGACATAGATTGAAAAACTAATGTCTAAGAATTAATAGGCAGCCCTATAACAGGATGGCAAAATGACTACAACCCAGGCATACTCAAGTTCAAATTTTAGCTCTACCAGCTACATGCCCCTGGACAGGTCTCTTAACCTCTCAGCTTCAGTTTTCTCATCTGTAAAATGGGCAAGAAAATACTTAACTTCATGGTATTGTGGTTGGGAATAAATGGGATGGTACAATGCATGCATTTAACACAGTGCCACCATTACTAATATCACTGATATAGTTAAGAGCCCAACATAAGGAAGTCTAAATGTGCAAAGCCAACAAAATGATGTCAGTTTTCCCTGGGATTCTTTCAACATCAGGCTTTTGGAAAATAGATCAATTGGATTTGAGTCACCAAAGAATGATCACCCACTTTTTAAGTCTACCCTGAATGCATTTAATACTATGAGCCAACAAGAGGCTTCCTAAAGCCATGTTTCTTTTATATATATATATATATATATATATATATATATATATATATATACACACACACACACACATATATATATATATATATTTTATTGATTTTTTTACAGAGAGGAAGAGAGAGGGATAGAAAGTTAGAAAGATCAATGAGAGACAATCACCGATTAGTTGTCTCTTGCACACCCCCCACTGGGGATGTGCCCGCAATCAAGGTACATGCCCCTGACTGGAATCGAACCTGGGACCCCTGAGTCTGCAGGCCGATGCTCTATCCACTGAGCCAAACCAATTTCGGCAAAAGCCATGATTCTTAAACATGGTAGGTCCCCATCTACCAGGAGCTACATCACCTACTTAGGACCAACAATGGCAGAAAGATGAGATGGGTGGCCAATTCACAGGAGCCAGACCCCATCTTATCCCAAAATACCAAGAGAAACAGTTCCCTAATGATAGAACATAAAATCCAGCAAAGCCACACTCCAAACACATAAAATCCCTAAGATGAAACTCATTAGGAAATTGTCTATCGGAAACCAGTAAGAAATCCCGCTTTGGACGTTGAGATAGTCTGGTGGTAAACATCAAAATGACCTGGGGTAACTGGCTGTGTGACCTTAAGAAGGTACTCAATCCGCTTTCAGCCTTGCTTCCATGGACAACAGCTTAGTCACAACCCTAGTACCTAACCTTTGAATAAGCCTCCATGTATAACAAGCTTTTTTCTTGTTCTTCATTAAAACATTACAGCTTCCTCCATAAAGATCTATACTGGTTAGAGACGGCATGTTTGTTGGTATTGTAAATGGCATCTTTTCCTATTCTATTTTCTAAATAGTTATTGGTGGTACACGGACATGCTGCTGGATTTTTTTAATTGTCCTCAGATATAAACAGTTCTAATACTTTATGGATTAAAAAAATCTTATCTCTGAAGCACTGGCCAGTGTGTCCATGGTTAGAGTGTTAACCCACACACCAAAAGGTCACGGGTTCAATTTCCAGTCAAGGGCATGTACCCAAGTTGCAGGTTTGATCTAACGTGCAGGATGCAACCAATTAATGTGTCTCTTTCACATCAATGTTTTTCTCTCTCCTCCTCCCCCTCTCTTTCTCCCTTCAACTCTAACAATCAATTTTTCTGGCTAGACCCCTCAGGATAATGGGGGAAAGTGGTCAAGATTGCAGGCACCTAGGCCTTGTTCCTGTATTTATTATGAGGTTTTAATGTTCTCAAAATGCCTGCTCTTCCTTGATAAAGTGCTTCCCAGATGCCTCGCAGATCCTCATTATCCAATCCTTCTAAAGCTCCTACTCTCATTTCTACTATGAAAACAACTAAGACTTTCAAGAGTGATTGCATTGAGGGATGGGGAGCGTGCAACAAGGAAAGTAGAGGGTTATTGCTTCAAGGTAATGGCACCAAGCCTACTGCTCTGAAACCTGGCTCCCCGATGGCCCACACAGGGGCAGATTATATACAGGAAAGATTACTAATTGTGGTGATTAAATCTTTTTAAAAGAATAAAAAATTTAGAGAAATAAGAAAAAAGTTAAAGGTCCAACAAGATAGACTATCTTTAATTGCTGATTAAATTGGCTTCCTAAATTCCCATATGTATTTGAGTCAGTGTCTGAACTTTTTGCGTGCGTGCCTATTGACACACCAGTAACATGTTTTCATTACTGGCTTAATAACTCTTATATGGCTACTGTTCATTCAAAAAGGAAAACAAAAACCATTGACCAGAAAATAAAAATCATGGTGATTAAGGGAGTTGGGGTCCTGGGCTGTACTGACTGATTGATCTTGACTCAGGTCCTGATGTCAACCATGGCGTTTTTCTGTCTAGTTTCATGATGGTGTGACAGGTAGCGTTGATTCACTTTCAAGGGCCTGAGGCATAAACCATCTTCAATTTCCAAAAGCAGAGCACCTTCTAACTCTAGGCCTTTTCAATTCCTCGCTTCTAATGATGCAAACAAAAGTGCCATAGGCAGGGGGCGCTCGGTCACAGACTGCCATCCAACTGCCATTTCCAAGACAATAGGTCTGGGCAGCTGCTAGGCAGAGGCCTGGTGGCAAGCCCCAAGCCAGGATCGCCAAAGCCACAGGCCAAAGAGCCCCACGTTAGGCACCAAAACTGTTACCTGACGTAAGGGATCCATTTACCCGAGTGCATCAAAGCCCAATAAAACTCCAACAGGAGTTTGCAGCCCAGAAAGCAGACTTACTCCTTTAAGAAAATGGTCCCAAGCCCAGAGACACAGGTAAGCCAGTCCCCTAAACCTGGCTCCAGGGAATATGTGGCTCTTGAACACTGTTATGTCCCTGATTCACTTCAACATCTCAGACAGGCCATTTACTTGGTTACCAGAGAGGAACATGGCTACAATATTCTTCCCGTGTTATGTTTTTCAACATACTGTCACACACATCATCTTCACTTTATCCTCACAGCTACCCAGAGGGGTACTCAGGGTCTTACTAGGTGAGAAAGCCAGTTAAAAAGACTTATCTGGGGGAACTGGGTGAAAAGGGTGAAGGGATTCAGAAGTACAAAATGGTAACTACAGAACAGTCACAGGGCCCCGGCTGGTGTGGCTCAGTTGGTTGAGCGTCGTCCTGTGCACTAAAAGGTCACAGATTTGATTCCCAGTCAGGACACATGCCAGTTTGTGAGTCTGAGTCAGGGTTAGGGTGTATGCAGGAGGGAATTGATCGATGTTTCTTTCTCGCTTTCTTTCTCTTTAAAATCAATAAAAACTTCTTTTTTAATAGTCACAGGGATATAAAGTACAGCATAGGCAATAAATATAGTCAATATATTGTCATGATAATGTATATGGTGCCAGGTGGATACTTGAAATATCAGGGATAACTCTGTAAAGTAGACGCTTTTTCTCACCACTACGCTGGACTCCTGAAACTAGCACAAAATTATACTAAATGTAAACTGTAATTGAAAACAAAAAACTTATCTTAACTTTCTCTTGTCCCTGGGCCCCCTACAAGAGGATGATGGATGCACAAGAGATTCTGATGATAGAGTGACCCCTGAGAGAACATTCTCTGTAGGTCAAAAAATAATTTCCACTTAATGCAGAAAGCTGGAGGGGGAAAAGCTGGGCATGAGGAAGACAGGAGAGATGTAATAGATGGGGGCATGAAAGGCAACCTTATCTAGAGCAAAGGCTCTCAACTCCCGCATTAGTGATATTGGGGCCAGAAAATTCGGGGGTGGAGGGGGGGGTGGAGCTGTCCTGCTCACTGTATGTAGCTGTATGCAGCTCACTGGCTGGATGGAACGGCACCCCCTACACACAGAACTGTGACGGCCCGAAATGTCTCCTGACGTTGCTAAATGTGCTTTGGGAAGCCAAACCGCCCTCAGTTGAGAGACACTAATGTAGCAGGCCTGCTATCTGTTTGGGTTTCTTTGGGTGCTTAAAAGAGGAGAAAGCCCTATTGAAAGATAAACTGTGACTCTAGCCAGTTTGGCTCAGTGGATAGAACGTCGGCCCTCGGACCGAAGGGTCCAAGGTTCAATTCCAGTCAAGGGCATGTACCTCAGTTGCGGATTCAATCCCAGGCAGGGCCAAGTACAGGACGCAACCAATCAATGTGTCTCTCTCCCATTGATGTTTCTCTCTCTCCCTTCCACACTCTCTCTAAAAATCAACGGAAAAATGTCCTCTGGTAAGGATTAACAAACAAAAAGAAAGATAACCTGTTATATCAAGCAAGCAGAACTATCTCTAACCTGAGAATGCTTTTGTGGCTTTTGCAAGACAGCAGAGCGCCATAGTTCAGTGCCTGACTTCCTTGCAGTGAGTTAACGGGAAAATTCGAATATGGCCGCTTGATCTCCCTAAGTGGGCAATCCCAGTCCTTTCGATAGCACAGAAGCCAAGGGTTTGCCACTTCAGACGTTAGGTTCCCCAAGTCCTTGCCCCTGCCCGACGCCAGGGTGGGCGAGGGTATTCCTGGGAAGGTCGCATCAGGAGTTAGACATCAGGCTGCTCCAATCTTCCAGGAGATTCCATTCTTTCCTAAACCATGGATGCTGTTGCTCAGACCTCGCACCCTGGTAATCTCCCTGTCCATCAGATACCTGCCTTATCTGCTGCTTGTAAATGTTTCCTGCTCCATCAAAAATCATCTGATAACCAATATGGAACATTTAAAACAGGAAAAGCAAATCGTTTCAGGTTCACGCCCCCTCCCCCCCCCAAGTACAGGTGTGTTACCAGCCTGCTGGTAAGGCAAACAGGTTGCAACCTGTGTTATTACAGGATAATTGCAGGCTCTGTAAGCAAATGTTCCGATTTCCCTGCTTCTCCCACAGGTAGGCTTAACAAGAAAATAGACAGGCTTGTTCCTTCATCTCTGCAGTGCCTTCGTCTACCCCAGGAGCCGCAAACTTTTTACAATGTGTAAATGAACGAAGGTGGATGTGGACCAATAAAACTTTATTTACAAAATCAGGCTCAGAATATTGTAATGACTCTCCTTTGCGACTATAGTTGTAATAAGTATGGTTTGCAACCCCTGGTCTGCCCAAGCCAGAGAATGGATACTCTGAATGTTGTGTAAGCATAGAGGGCATGTAAGGGGGAGGAGGATCCACAAACTCAAATTCCTACAGGGTCCACAGAAGTAAATAAAAATAGTAGGTAACAGAAGTAAATAAATATAGTCCTCTCTCCAGCTTTTGTTCTCCCACACTGGATACCGGTCAAAGCATGGGTCTTGCAAAATAAGATGGACGGCCTGGTCTTGGCGTGTGAGGAACGGCCCTGGCATTCAGCCTGGACGCAAAGGGGCATAGCTCATGCCCGTCCTAGGGGAGCACTCTCCTCGGCTCCTGGGCTGAGGCGGCAAGGCAGGCACGTACCCCGGTGTCACCTGACCTGGCACAACTTCTGATACACTGCCCCTGCCCAGCAAAGGACGTCTGCGGAGCCTCCTAGTTCCTAAGACAATGCATGGGCCCAACAGAGAAAGTCCCAAGCCACCCACTTGTGACATGTGCACACCCTGTATGTGAGGGGCCCCAGGATTTCTCTGCATATCTCATCAAATAGCCACCCAAGGCCTTTTTGGACAAGTCTGTTAGCAATTATTTTTAATCCTTTGATGAGGGGAAAAAGGGAGGGAAGAAGGGAGGGAGGGAAGAACTTCCAAAAGGGCTCTTCAAACTCATATGACCCAAAATTCAAAGGGAAGATGGTGTTTTGCAATCTAGGCCTCGTGTCATGTGGGGACAGGGTATTTGGCAACCTGACCTGCTCCACGAAGCGCCAGGAGCACCCCTGCAGGCTTTGGGACATCCCCTCCAGCAGTCCCAAGAAAAAGCACCTACAAGCTTTTAGGGGTGAAACCACTGGACCAAGAGGCATTAAAATTAATTATAAGCATTAGAATACTTTTCCCTAAAAAAATAAAGTATGTTTTTAAAGCTCTTCTTGAAATTACCGCCTAAAGTATTGAAGCCCCAATATATGAAAAATGGGTGAAATGGGCTTCCAACTTAAAAACTCAACCTGCATCTCCACCTGCTAATAAAAAGTCGCTACAAAAAATGGGAAAATACGGAGGAGGGGGGGGGGCGCGGGGGGGGGGGGGGGGGGCGGGGGTTTATAAGGCCAGAATGGCTTTCTTTTTACAACACTAGAATACAAAAGAGAAATTAGAGTGAAACCCTAGCAGGTTTGGCTCAGTGGATAGAGTGTCAGCCACAGACTGAAGGGTCATGGGTTCGATCCCAGACCCTGGTTGGGACACATGCAGGAAGCCACCAATCGATGTGTCTGTCTCACATCGATGTTTCTCTCTGTGTCTCTCTCCCCTCCCTTCCACTCTCTCTAAAAATCAATGGAAAAATATTCTGGGGAGAGGATTGACAACAACAAAAGAAGAAATTAGAGTGAGGGGGGGGGGAGGAAGGAGGTAGAGAACCTTTATACCAACAACACCTAAGAGAACCAGAGGCAGAAGGAGTGAGCGAAGGAGTGAGCGAAGGAGTGAGCAGAAGGAGTGAGCAGGCAGGGCATGACACGACAGGGAGGGCGGGGAGTGCAGAAAACCAGAGCACACAGGCCCTGCCTTCAGGGGCAGGATCGCACAGCCGGTGTGGCTCAGAGGCTGGATGTCAACCTATGTACCAGGAGATCACAGTTTGATTCCTAGTCAGGGCACATGACTAGGTCTCGCTCCTCATTAGAGGGCATGCGGGAAGCAGCTGATCAATGATCTTTTCTCATCATTGATGTTTCTATCTCTCCCTCTCCCTTCTTCTCTAAAAATCAATGAAAACATTAAAATATTTTTTAAATAATAAATAAAGGGGCAGGATGTGCTCAGCTCCAACTGTCGTTAGAATTCTCCAAGTTTTATAAGAACTCAGAAATATAAGTTGTTAACCAAAATCTCATAATCTTCAAATGTTGGTGACTAACAGGAATTACATTATGTTGGTCAGACACAGCATTTGTGATCTACGATTTGGTTTTAATTCCATAATCCTAAAAGAAAGAAAGAGGCCAGGAAAGGGAATGGGAAAGGAAAGTGTCCAGAAGAATTTTTTTTTTTTTAAAGGATTTAAGTTCCTCTTAGGAAAGCAGATTCTGCATGAGAAATTGCCCTTGCCATGCAAACTTTAGATGCTACCCTGAATTACAGAGTCAAGGTCAGCCGTCTCTTCTCTTGACAGCCAGGCAATTCTCTTTTGCCAACTCCTGGCTGTTCAGCCCCAGGGAGTTTTAGAACTGGAAAACAAACCGACAAGCAACCTTATAATGTCCCTAGTCCAAACCTTATTTCACAATGTAACTGAGGCTCAGAGACAGGCAGCGACCGCCAAGGTCACACAGCCAGCCCCCCAGGTGCAGGGGGCTAGAAAGAGCCCATGTCCAGGTCTGCGACACTTTTCCTCCAGGATCTCAGGCCTGCAAGCTCTCCGCACCGGGACTGAGGATGACGGATTACTCAGGAGCGTGCTCGCGCCCGTGTGTCGTCACCCATGCTTTGCTATTTTCCACAGCCTAAGCGCATTCTATATTCGTAAGCTCCCACCCTGGGTCAACCTCTGGGGAGACGAGACAGCAACTGTCAGATACTATTCTGAGGCCGATGGTCCAGAGGGGGACACAGATTGGCAAATATATTAATGTGGTTAGGAGGTTTAAGTGTTAAAGAGATGGTATTAACATGGGGATGGAAAAGGAAGAGAATATGCATGAGCTGTCCAAGTTGGCCAGCTTCCAGAAAGAGAGATGAGAGCCAATGAAAAGAGAGAGACAGAGACAGAGACAGAGACAGAGAGACAGAGAGAACATGGGCACAAAGGGAGGAGGCGCAAGGAAGGGACAATATCTGCTTCGTGATTTATGGGCAGCTGGTGAGAAAGTGCGGCCCAGGAACTTAATGGCCGGCTAAGTTAACGTTTGGGGATTATCTGTGGCCTCCATACTTCTCTCTTAGTCTTTAATCTCAACAGCCATGGTAGCCAGCTCCTGGATGACAGGAGACCTAAGCTCAAAGGCAGCTTCTTACTCATGCTGAGGTCTGGAGGAGGCATCCTGACCTCTCTAAGCCTCTGTGCTTTCAGCTGTGAAAAGGAGATGACAAAGCCCTTACCCAAAGGGCTAGCATAAGCATTAACACAGACACCTGGAAATGGGGCTGGAGGGGGAGGAAAATCTGAAACTCCAATGTCATATGACAGCACAGTGTAAGCACTGCTTTTGGTTTTATTACACTGCAATCCCCCCAGACCTTTACATCAGACCCACCAGTTTCGTCTCCTAATACAATTTAGCCCTGTACCGTCCAACACGGTAGCTGCAAACCAGAGAGCCACTTAAATTTAAACTAGAAATTCAGTTCCTGCCCTAAACGGTTTGGCTCAGTGGATAGAGCGTCGGCCTGCGGACTCAAGGGTCCCAGGTTTGATTCCGGTCAAGGGTATGTACCAGTAGGGGGTGTGCAGGAGGAAGCTGGTCGATGTTTCTCTCTCATCAATGTTTCTATCTCTCTATCCCTTTCCCTTCCTCTCTGTAAAAATTCAATAAAATATATTTTTAAAAAGAATTTAAAAAGAAATGCAGTTCCTTGGTTACATCTGCCATTGGCCCCTGCTCGATGGCTGCCGTGGCCGGTGACCATCATACTGCACAGCACAGAGCAGCTGCGGCTGTAGTTGTGTGCTTATGCTCTTTAGCTTAGAGGCTGGCTTCATTGTTGTTATTGTTATTATTGTTATTATTATTTATGTCGCTTGGCTCAATTCATCTTAACCACCTCAGGAAATCAATAGCAGCAGTGCCATTATTCCCATTTCAGGAGACGGGAAAACGAGGCACACAGCCACAGAGCAAAAAGCCGAGCTGGCATTTCGCTATATAATTTGAGAGTGAAAATAGATTCGTGTGCAGAAACATTTGAGCCGCTGCTAGGCCTCTTCCCGGGAAAGCAATAATCTCGTTTCCTCCAACCCCACGTCCCCAGAGCCCACTCCGGCACCCGTAACACAGGAAATACATGAGTCCATCCGAGGGCTCCTTACTTAAGTGGTACCAGGACCATGGTGTCAGGAAATTTGGCCTCATGGTCCACTAAAGCATCTCTATCTCTTTTTTCTTCTTAATCGGAACTATATCTAGCCTGCATCAGGTCACGTTAAAGCAGTTTTCCTTCGTATGATCCAAGATGGCAAACAGGTTCCTAGTTAGGTGGCTGGCTCTGGCTGCCCAGGCAGGGTGGGGCCTGCAGTCCAGGTCTCTGCACTGTGAGAGGGAAGGGTGGACTCATCACCAGTCTACCCTGGACAGTGGGTGGGGAGAGCAGCTGTCCCTCACCACAGACCCAAGCCCATTATTTTACAGATGAGAAAACTGAGACCAGAAGGGAGCGCAAACACCTCCGGGCGGAGGCGAGAGCCATCCTGCTGGCCTGGCCCAGGAGGAAAACACCATCCGGCCACATGGGGGAACCTTCCTGAAGGATGAAACCGAAACCCCCCCCCCCCCCAAAAAAAAAAACGCCTCAAGCCCTAAAGCACAGTATCTGTCTCATCTGGATACCTGCCCTGTCCCCAGAACAGATCTGAAAACCCACCCACCACACATTTCCACACAGGCCCCGCCTGAGCTGCCCTGCTCTGCCCTACGCCCCTGACAGCCGGGCTGGCAGGTGGCTAAGTGCCAAGAACACCGGCTCTTAAAGGGCCCGGAGAGCTGCCTCCCCACCGTGCGGACGCCGTCCCGGTGGCCCTTTACCTGCTCCTTGTTGTTGCTGTTCAGTAAGCCGGGTTTCTTTTTCTTTTTAATGGGGCTGGTGGACGTGTCCTGTGGCGAGTGGCCATTGGAAGAATGCGGAGGGCTGGGGAACTTTCTTTTTGGGGCTGTTCTGTCGGTGGAGCCAGGATCTGAAAGAAACACACAGGGCCACACATTTTAAAGCAGTCGGGGGGGGGGGGGGGGGGGTAAGGGGGGGCCTGGCCTCCTCGGGGAGGGGATGGAGAGGACACAACCCATTTCGCCTCAGTGTTCCTCCTCCCCAGAATACCCCCCTTTCTGTTACCTATCTCAGAGGTCGCATGGTCTTTCTGTGGCCTGCATAACATTTTGGTAACAAATTTAACTCACTACCAAAATGTAAAAATTGGGAGGCTTTACAAAATAACCTAGGCTGCCGAAACCGGTTTGGCTCAGCGGTAGAGCGTCGGTCTGCGGACTGAAAGGTCCCAGGTTAGATTCCGGTCAAGAGCATGTACCTTGGTTGCGGGCACATCCCCGGTAGGGGGTGTGCAAGAGGCAGCTGGTCGATGTTTCTCTCATGGACGCTTCTAGCTCTCTTTATCTCTCTCCCTTCCTCTCTGTAAAAAAAAAAAAAAAAAAAAATCAATAAAATATATTTTAAAAAATAACAAAATAACCTAGATTTTTGGCTTCTATGAAAAAGAACCAGATCGGGGCCTTCTTTCCATGGCCTTAGGGCAGCAGATTAGAGATCTGAATACCAACTGGCCATTGTTACATGGAAGGGTGCCCTCCACGCGGCCATGATCCCCACCCTCCCTACTGGATCTCTGATGATGGGGCTATGACCCAATCACCATGAGTCGTCACCCAGACACTGGTATCGTCCTTTACCCCAAAGAAATATTTCTCCTCCACATCCATTCCTGATGGCAAAACCAAGACCAGGAAGGCCACACATCTAAGAAAGCAAAAGCTAACATACTTCTTTATGGAAGACAACATGTATTCATGTTTATCAGGAAAACCACATGCAACTATGCAAAACATACATAGGACCCACCCACCAGAAAGTCCTCGTGGCTCAGCCACCGCTGGGGATTATGTCTGCAAGGCTCCTCCAGAGAGTCCAACACCAGTTACCTTCTGGAATGCTAACCTCGCCTTTGTCAATCCACCCTTTTCTACTTTCATTCTCCCGGAACCCCGTTTAAACCAATATACTTCCACCACCGTCCAATCTTCACCTGCAAGACTGCGAACCCCTTCCATGCCCGGTAGCTGTCCTGTTAGCTTAGGGGTGACAGGAGGGCCGGCCTGGCGCACCTCACCTGCTGAGAAATGAAAGCAACAGGCAGCAGAAGAGGAAAGAGCTCTGTGCAGAGTACAGGGGATGGGGGGGATGGGGGGGAATGGGACGGGGGATCCAGAAAGATGGTTATCCCCAAAGACAGCCCAAGGACATTCCTCCTCCAGGTGTCACTACCGGGCGCATCCCAGCACGCAGGCTGCACCCGTGTCACCGTCCTCCGTCCTCTGTGTCCAGGTAGGATCCGCTGGGGGCAGGTTAACAGGGTCTGATAGGGCCACACGCAGGGTCTCCCGATGGTTTCCTTTGGTCTGAAAGGGGGAGCCGCTTGTGGTGGGCTCGCAAAGCAGGACAATGATCTGCTGAGACCAAGCCCACGCCCTGCCGTGGGACTCTCCAGTCTCGCCAGACAGGCCTCGGGGAAATCCTGAGCCAATGTCCAGGGTCTCTCGCCGAGACACAGCCCTGAGAGAAAATTAAACGCTAACCCTGAGGGAGAGCAGAGCCCAGAGTTCAGGGGTTCATCCCACAGACATCACCATGAAGGCCTGGAGGGTCTCACGGGTGGGCCCAGCAGCTCACAAGAGCTAGTTAGTGAGAAAACGCACTCCAGAGGTGCAGCCTGGGCTTGGCACATTCCCAGAGAAGCTTCCCCTTGCCAACCCTGCTCCGCCATCAAAGCTCTTCCTTCTTTTTTTTTCTTTTTTTTTAAATATATTTTATTGATTTTGTACAGAGTGGAAGGGAGAGAGAGTTAGAAACATCAATGAGAGAGTGTCACTGACCAGCTGCCTCTTACACACCCCCCACTGGGGATGTGCCCGCAACCAAGGTACATGCCCTTGACCGGAATCGAACCCGGGACCTTTCAGTCCCCAAGCCGACGCTCTATCCATTGAGCCAAACCGGTTTCGGCCCTTTTTTTTTTTTTTTTTTTTTTTTAATATAATTTATTGATTTTTTTACAGAGAGGAAGGGAGAGTTAGAAACATCGATCAGCTGTCTCCTGCACACTCCCCTACTGGAGATGTGCCTGCAACGAAGGTACATGCCCTTGACTGGAATCGAACCTGGGACCCTGGAGTCTGCAGGCTAACGCTCTACCTACTGAGCCAAGTCAGTTAGGGCAAAGCTCTCCCTTCTCACACAAAGTCTTTGACCCAACAGTCCCCTCCTGGAAACCCAGTCTACACAGTCACAGAGGAACAAAGCCCACGCAAGGGGCTCCACATGGCGCCGCGCACTGCATCTAAGTCTGGAACCGACTTCCAGGCCCACAGACAGGGGCTGGCCTGCTAGCCCTCGCCAGCCACGCAGCAGGCTGTTCTACAGCACCGAGAGGCATGAGGCACCTCTGCATGGACTGGTGCTTACTGATCTCCAGCTTCTGCACCCGGTTTTAAAAAGCAATACAGGCCGAAACCGGTTTGGCTCAGTGGATAGAGCGTCAGCTTGCGGACTGAAAGGTCCCGGGTTCGATTCCGGTCTAGGGCATGTACCTTGGTTGCGGGCATATCCCCAGTATGGGGTGTACAAGAGGCAGCTGATCAATGATTCTCTCTCTCATTGATGTTTCTAACTCTCTGTCACTCTCTCTTCCTTTCTGTAAAAAAAAAAAAAAAAAAAAAAAACCAATAAACTATATACTTAAAAAAATAATAATTAAAAATAAAAATAAAAAGCAATACGTTAGCACCATTAACAGACCAACACACATGCCCCCCCCCCTCCAAAGTAACACGTGTAGTATCTCCCTGTGTGCATAAGCCTAGGATATTCCTGGATGAACACGAAAGTACAAGAGTTCCTTATGGGACTGGTGGTGAGAAGAACCTGCTTGGGTGTGGAAAAGGGACTGTTTTTCATTGTGTAACCCTTGTGTATGGTATTTACCATGTGCCTGGACAACACTGTCAAAATAAAGTAATAAAATATTTAGGAGGTTCAATTTCATATTAAGAAGAAAAAGAAAAAAAACCCTAGCTGGTTTGGCTCAGTGGATAGGGCGTCAGCCTGCAGACTGAGGGTCCCAGTTCGATTCCAGTCAAGGGCACATGCCCAGGTTGCGGGCTCGACCTCCAGCAGGGAACATGCATGAGGCAGCTGATGAATGATTCATTCCCATCACACTGATGTGTTTCTCTCTCTCTCTCTCTCTCTCTCTCTCTCTCTCTCTCTCCCTCCCTCCCTCCCTCCCCCCTTCTCCCTTCCTCTCTGAAATCAACAGATTTAAAAAAAAAAAAAAAAAAAAAAAGGCAGCAGGTGCAAACCAAAGCCAGTAATGAGTGGATGAGAGAGGTCTGACTCAGAATAAAAAACACTACCATTCGGACAAAGCTGGGGCTGATCAAAGGAAGGTAGGTGTTTGCAATTTCTTCTACGCAGACTTGATAAGCCCAGTATCTTTGCTCAGGTGTCAGAGTGTGTGTTTTTAAGAAAGGTGTTTGATGAACTCCCGGGAGATGTGTTCCAGCAGAAATGGCATGCTGGCCACGCAAAAACTGAAAGCAAGTGGACCAAGGTTTTGATTTTGTATGTATTGCTCCATTTTTTGGTAAATTTTAAAGGAAGATAGTACATGAGGAAAGACACACCAACGGGAAAAACAGGGCATGTTGGGGAGAGATTAAGGAGTGTCTTTTGATGTTTCCCAGTGGAGCACTCACTACTGAATTTTGGAAGGGACAGCACTTTCTCATCCCAAGAACCACCTCGGCACCCTCCCACTCAAAGACATCAGGGCTCCCTAACGCTGACGAGAAGTGCCCCCACACAGTCCCACACACTCCCAGGAGCCCCTGTGAGCTGGAGCATGGGGCCGCCCGGCCCACACGCAGCCAGAAGGAGCATGGACTCCTTCCCTCCAGAGCTCAAGAGCCGCCTCCGTAGGCAGTTAGTTCCCCACCTGAGGCTGAGAGCCCAGCACGATGGCTCCCAGGACAAAGTCCCGGGCTAGCAGCAGTGGCTTTCACTGGGGCATGTACTATCCTGTTTCCCCGAAAATAAGACAGTGTCCTATATTAATTTTTTCTCCCAAAGTTGCGCTAGGTCTTATTTTCAGGGGATGTCTTATCTTTTCATGCGCTAGGTCTTATTTTCGGAGGATGTCTTATTTTCAGGGAAACATGGTAGAAACGCACATTCTCAGACCCCGTGCCAGAGCTACAGAGTCAGAAACTCCCGGGGAGGGCCCAATCGTCCGCTGGAGGATTCGGGTGCCTGCTGGTGTGAGATCCTCTTGAGTGTGTGTTTTGGGGGACGGACTCTGAGTTCTCCAGCCTAGGAAAGTCTGATAAGTGCCTCTCCTTCCCACCCACGGCTGGCTCCCTGTGGGCGGGTTCAGGAATAAGGAAGTTGAAGTCAAGCGAGGAGGCCTGGGAGGAAAAAAAGGCAGCTCAACAGGCGATAACCCCAGGCAAGGCTCTACTTCTCAGGGCCCCAGGCCACACTTGTAAAATGGGAGGAGAGGAGAGAAAGTGGTCCGACCAGAACTTCTTACCTGGAGCCCATGCGCGTGCTCCAGGAACCCGGGATCCGTGGGTCACAGATTGTATACGTGGTTGCAATTTCCTGGGAAGAAGGGCCATATGCCTGCTTCACCTTCTCGAAGGTGTCATCAGCAGTAAAGATTAAAAAGTACAAGACTAGGCCCTGGCCAGTGTTTCTCGGTGGTTAGATCATCAGCCAGAAGAGTCCTGGGTTCAACTCTTTGTCGAGGCCCTTGTGGGAAGCTACCGGTAAATATGGCTATCGCGCAATGATGTTTCTTTCTTTTTCTCTCTCCCCTTCCCTCCCCTTTCCACTCTCTCTGAAAAAAGCAATGGAAAGGGTATCTCCAGGTGAAGATTAACAAAACAA